ATAGCTTTCTTCTAGCTAAATTAATAATATCGATAATAAAAATAAATAAAAGATTTTTTTTATATCGATTTATCGATATAATATATTTAAAAAAAGAATAAATAAGATATATTTAAATAAAGTCTACGTTAAAGGCGGAGAATTTTTTAAAAAAAAATTTTATTAATTTAAAAGGGAAAAAAGTTTTCTTTCTAAAAAATCCTCTTTTAAATATATTAAATTCTACGAGTATAGAGGTCTATATCGAAAGTTCTATATATACGCTAAAACTCTTAGTATTCTTAGTAAATATTCTTAATATCTTAAATATTAATACTTTATATAGTAGCGATATTAATACTTACTATATATAATATATATATATATAATATATAGTAGCGATGTTACTATATATATACGAGGTATATAATTACGATATTACTATATATATTATAGCGATAGTAGCGATATTAATACTATATATACTTACGCTAATAGAGAAATAGAGGAATAGAAAAAGAATATAAAGAATTTTAATATATATTTAATATATATTTAGTATAGTAAGTAAGTATCTTCTTACTACTCTTTAATTCTAATATATTTAATACTTAGAGTATTAATTATAACGACGGAATTAGACTTTAAATATTTACTTTAATCGAATATAGTATTATAGCGAAGATCGTTACGGCTATTATAGAAGTCTCTTATTAAATCGTTAATCGCTTATAATAATAAGTCTATAATAGAGAATATAATTCTATCGTATTCAAAAAGCTATTATTATCGTATATATTCGATGCTCTTAAATCTAGACGACTCTCTATTATTACGCTCGAGCTTAAGAGTACTATTTTAGCCGCTATACGAAAGAATCGCTATGGCTGTAAAAAAACCTCTTTTATACTAGCTACTAAGTAAGAAATCTTCTTAATAATAGTTCTACGAGTACTTAAACGTAATAACTTTCGATTAATTAAAACTACTAAAAAACCGCCTCTTTCGATAGTCTAAATAAAAGCTTATTATTAATTCGCTTTACGGTATAAAGACTAGATTATAGAGAATTAAAAGAATATAATCTAGATCGACGAGACTAGTATAATCTTAAACTCTCGATAAAAATAAATATAATAATAGCGTTAGCCCGATAAGATCTATATTAAGTTCGCTATTTGACGTCGTTTCGTAGACGCTATAGAGTTTATATTTTAAGGGTATTTCTTATATAATAAGAAGAGTTTATATTATATTTAAAAGGTCGAAATAATAGTTAAAAAGAAGAAATATACTTAGAAACTAGCTGCTATTAATAAGGTCTTAAAGCTTAAGACTAAATTACAGTGGGAACTTTAGATCGATATAAGACGTATAGGCTTACGTAATCTTTCTAGCGTAAAGCCTTAGTAAAGGTTTATAGTAGAAACTGGGAAAGTTATTATTATAGGAAAGAAAGAAGAAATTAACTAATATCGCTATTAGAAGAAGGTTTATTTATATATATTTCTTTAAATTCTTCGACTTCTTTCGCTAATTAGATATAGATTCTTCTTTTATTACTTTTAAAATTTATCTAGAAATATAAAGAAGATAAATTTAATATAGTAGTTATAAAAGATAAGACCTTAGTCTATATCTTAAAGTTTTAGAAATTAATCTTTATATTTATAAATATACTTAGATTATTATAGTATAAAAACTCGTCGAATCTAAATTATATTAAGTTATATTAGTCTTGAATAAAGCGATATATTACTCGAAACGATTTATTAACGACTCGAAAAGAGGCTAAAAAGCGATAGACTTATTACTAAAAATATAAATTTTTATAAAAGAGGATTTAGAAGTAGATAGAATATATACTTAGATATATTATCGAAGTTATTCGTTTAAAAGACGATAACGAGTATAGAAAAGGTCGTTTTAAAGGGGATATACGATTATATAATTTAAATAAGCGAGTTAATAAGTATATACGTAGTTATATAAAGAATTATTAAGAAAAATAAAGCTATTTAAGAAATTTGTTAAATTGCCGAAGAATACCAAGAATACTAAGAGTTTTAGCGTATATATAGAACTTTCGATATAGACCTCTATAAAGGCCTATAAATTAAATTTTTTTTTTTTTTTTTTTATTATTTTTTTTTTATAAAATATTTTTTTTTTTTTAAAAAATAATTTTTTAATATTTTTTTTTTATTTTTTTTTTTAAAAAATTTTTAATTTTTAATTAAAAAAAAAAATTTTTTTAAATTTTTTTTTTTTTTTTTAAAAAAAAAAAAAATTAAAATTTTAATAGAAAATTAAAAAGTTATTCTAAAATTAAATAATATATATTTATTTTTTAATTAGAACTATTTAACTACTCGGCTATCGAGCGAACTTTAATAAGCGATATTTAAATTCCTTACGCTTTAATAACTATAAGTCTTAATTTAGATTTTTTTTTATTTAAAAGCCTATATTTTATTTTATAATTTAAAAAAAATCTTAAAATTTTAATAGAAGATAAAAAGTTATTTTATATATTAATAATATATATTTATTTTTAATAAAAGAGATATAAAAGAGAGAGATTTTAATAATTATAAATATTAATTTATTTATTTATAATAATTTAATTAATCTAATTAAAGAGCGTAGCGAACTTAAATTTATAATTAGCTATATATATAAATTTAAGATTTTTAAACTTAACTTTATTTTATTTTATTATATATACTAATATTTTTTAAAAACTTATATATAATAAATAAGAATACTCTTTTTTTATTATAATACTTATATAGTAAGAGACTTACTTTATAATAATATTAAATAAAATTAAGTATTAAATAAAGTAGCGATTTAATAAAAAAGATATCGCTTCTATAATCGCTTTATTAATATATATAAAAGAATAAGATAGAATTAAATTAGAAAATCTTAAATTTATATATATAGCTAATTATTAATTCGTTAGATCTACGCTTTTTAATTAAATACCGCTTGTAAATAAATTAATATTCGTAATTATTAAAAAATAGATATACGTTATTAACATATAGAATAACTTTTTTATTTTCTATTAAGTTTTTAAGATTTTTTTTTAAATTATAAATCGAAATATAAGCTTTTAGATAAAAAAAGAATTTCTAAATTTAGTCTTATAATTATTAAAGCGTAAGAAATTCAAATATCGCTTATTAAAGTTCGCTTATTAAAGTTCGCTCGATAGCTCTAATTAAAAAATAGATATATATTATTTAATTTTAAAATAACTTTTTTATTTTTCATTAAAATTATAAGATTTTTCTTTTAAATTATAGAACGTAAAGTAGACTTTTAGAAAAAAAAATTACTAAATTTAGTCTTATAGATATTTAAAGATAAGGAATTCAAATATCGCTTATTAAAGATAACTTATTAAAGATCGCTTATTAAATTTACTCGATAGCTCTAATTAAAAAAAACGATTATGAATTTAATTTATAGGCCTTTACTCGTAATAATTCTATTATAATATAATTTCGATAACTCTCTAAATCTATAGAATAATTATAAATTAAGATATATAGATAAATCTTTTTATTAATATATATAAAAGAATAAGATAGAGTTAAATTAGAAAGTCTTAAATCTATATATATAATTATTAGATTTACGCTCTTTAATTAGATCGATTAATTTACCGCGGGTAAATAAATTAGCGTTCGTAATTATTAAAAATCTCTCTCTCTATTTTTAACCCTTTAATAACTTTACTATTTTCTATTTTCTATTAAAATTTTAAGATTTTTTTTTAAATTATAGCTCGAAACTTACGCTTTTTAATAATAAATAGATTATAAAATTTAATCTTATAATTATTAAAGCGTAAGGAATTTAAATATCGCTTATTAAAGTTCGCTCGATAGCCTTAATTAAAAAATAGATATATATTATTTAATTTTAGAATAACTTTTTTATTTTCTATTAAAATCTTAAGATTTTTTATTTAAATTATAGAACGTAATATAGGCTTTTAGATAAAAAAAAGAATTATTAAATTTAGTCTTATAGATATTTATAGATAAGAAATTCAGATATCGCTTACTAAAGATCGCTTACTAAAATTTACTCGATAGCTCTAATTAAAAAAAAATTATAAATTTAATTTATAGATTTTTATTTATATAATTATAACGATATATAATATAACTATTAACGTTATAATTTAGATACGCGACGCGTATAGTTAATATACGACTATTTATTATTATTAGAAAACGTAGTTTACTAGAAAATATAGTTTTTTTAAATTCGATAAATTCGACGTAATATTAAAATATCTACTTTTTTTTTTTTTTTTTTTTTTTTTTTTTTTTAAAAACTCAAGGAACGTGTCACTGCGGGGTTCTCCAGGGGGGGCCATCATTGGGTTTAATCGACAGGTAAACACCGAGCATCGCCTCAAGGAAACGTTTCGTTAGTCTCAACTACTTCCATAAATTCGACCTTGCGCCATCCGCGAGGAGTGTGCCTCTAGGACTGTAATCCAGCAGCAGGAAGTGCTTAAGTCCTCTGCCTGCATTGGCTACTAGCTAATTGGACCCGTGACACGCGCGGTTGGGCGGCGTTCTGATATATGGAAGACCGAATTCCCAATCGTAGGGACACTGCTTGAGACAATACCTCTGGTCATCGTTCCACAGTCTTGTTGATCACCTCAAGAGAGCCACAATCGAGCGTGCATCGAACCATGACTTTGACAAGCACAAGCTCTGTACAGGAGCTCGTAAAGTTCGCTCGAGAACTGGCCATACTATCGAAAACACTACGCTAACCTTCCGATATTGTGTCTGAGCTCAACGAAATTGCAGTACTGGATCACGCAAGCTTTTGGGCAGCCAAGACAGGCTACCGCCTGGAAACCAAGTCATTACCGCACCATTGACCAATGGTGCTGTGTTCAGGACGGGAGGTACAACTGCGGTTCCCAAACCCTCGTACGTTACGCGAGAAGAGCTTCATAAAGGAGCCCAGTCCTGGGCTGCATGCCTCGTTCGTGCGGGCCTCCAGCCAGAGACCGTGTTGGTAACTTGCTTTATGGCGGGGATCTGTACAAGGGCTTTCTGGATCTCGATCTTGCCTTGACAGACGCCCCGACCCCGAATTTTCACTTGTCAATTGGAGTTGCCCCATTCGAGAACCAAGCCTGGACATTGCGAACCTACGCTGCGACTGTTTTAGTAGCCATGCCAACCGTCATGTGCCGGCTCGCGGACTACTTGATCGAGCACGAACAACATGTTTCTAGCGTTCGGCTTCTGCTCAGGGACCAGAAGCTTCTCCTAAATAGGGCATCTCCTTCCGCTCTAATCTCACCCGTTCAATACGAATCTTTTGATGGTACGTAATTTCGGAAGCCGTTTTTCTTCCTTTGGACTGAGTCTCGAGTTTTGAGACACGTCTTGGAGGTTTCTACTCTGTAGACATGTTCCAAGCCTCAATGCAACCCTTCGAATAGGCAACACTGACTCCGAAATTACAATCCAGGGGGCCTCATGGATTTCTTGACGCTCCACCTGGTGGCATTGATCAAGATCCCACATATTACACGGTGAACACCTCAAGTATGATCATGGAGTTAAAAACAGATACTGGGGATTTGATCACTGCAGAAGGGGTAAAAGGGAACGTCGTGATCACAAACCTTAATCGACGTCTGATGCCCATAATTCAGTACCCAATGGGTGACGCAGCTGAATGGGTTGACTACAGCTCGCGCAAATTCCGCCCCTGTGGAAGAGGGGCCGTGGGAGTAAGATTTGGGCCTGCTTCTTATGATATGACGAGTTCGAAGGAGATAGTCACGAGTTCTTTATAGAACGAAAACGTTAACGGTTTCCAAATGAATTCGAGAAGAGATGGGCAGAGTCCACGAGGAACGGGCCAAAGAGGTGACAGAAGGCTTCGTCAATCCACTTGTTATAAAATGGCTATCTGTTCAGGAACTGCACTACAATGCAAGGAGTGAAAAGCTCAAGGAAACAGTCGATCTTCGTGTGGTATGGCATGTGACATAGTGATGAGGATGCAGCGTCGTAGTCGTGGGCTCCGAGCTCAGGCTCAATTCTGAGCCTTGGGCGTAAGTATAATCCTCACCTCCGCCAGGTATGGGACATAACGAGGTCATTTATGTTCCATAGCATCCTGAAAACCCACTTGGCTGCTTCACTGGCAATAAACCAAAGAAAGTGGGGGTGTATATATCGTGCTAACGGAACAGACAAGTCATCGGAAGCCTCACTGCCGTTCTTGATTACACGACTGATGAGACATCGGTCTTCCCAGCTACTTCAACTCCATAGCCGTAGTATTGAGAGATACGGAGTCAAATTTCAAGCGCTGGGTATAATAAAACTTTCATGGTGTAGGTCGTAGAGAATCTGCGGGATTAAGAAAAGGGTCCGGCCCGTCGTTTATCCGAGGACGTTCGATTTTGGAGGACTCTCTGGAGAAGCTGTGTGATATAGCACACCGTAATGGTATCTTGAAGTGTATGTTTGATTGCAAGTCCATTATGTTGGCGCGAGTTGCGAGGCGCTCTCTGCGCCTCTACCGTACACCAGCGCCCCCAATTCAAGTGCCCATATCGTATCTACAATCTCGTGCCTACGCCAAAAACAATAAGCCCAAAAGACCTTTCGAATATAGAGCGCCTACACACCCTAATTCTACAAATGCGCATGGAGTCAATGCTCCAAGACCTGGTGGGCCGGCGGTGGGTGCCGCAGGAGGACAAGTCGGCTATCCTGCATCTCAAAGCAGTCAGTCAGAATTCCCTAATACCTCGAAGCTTCAGGAAGAGTACGATGCTATCATGAGCTCGAGATCCGGCAAACAAGCATCTATACCCCAGCAAACCTACGGCCCTACTTCGACGAACTCCGCAGAATCATATCCTCATCCTGATTACTCGAAACCCCCAGATGAAGTCGGCACATCCGCGCCATCTGATGGCATCACTGTTCCTCAATCCACCTCTGCGTCTCCCGTAGACCCCGCCGAAGCTCGAAGTCGAGAGCAGGTGCAAGAGACAAGTGGACCTCTGCCCGACTTGACACAGGGAATACCATCTACACTGGACGCAGAAATGGCGTCTTCAGCCAAGGCAGACCCAGCAAGCCTGAATGTTACCGAAGATCCATCGCAGCCTGGCGGTGGTGGTCGTGGAGACCTACCAAAGGAAGCTTACATATCATCGATAGAGAGGCGGCGGAATCGGTATGCGTCTTGGGCCGTTGCTACCATGGCAGCCTTCTTCGTCGCTGGAGGCGTCTATTTGGGAAGGAATTGGGAATCGGAAGAAGAGGAGAAGCAACACCCCGATGCGCCATCAGGATGGGGCTTTGTCCTGTTCTGGAACCGGGTTAAGGCGCGTTGGAATGGGTCGCTGAGTTACTACACGGAACCTGCTTTCCCTAAGCTACTACCGGATACAGATCCTGCATGGGCAAGACCATATACACTTGTGGTAAGCTTAGAAGATATGTTGGTACACAGCGAGTGGACGCGAGAACATGGGTGGAGGATGGCGAAACGACCTGGTGTGGACTATTTCTTACGATATCTGAGCCAGTATTACGAGCTGGTCATCTTCACAAGTGTTTCGTCAATGATCGGACATCCCATAATACAGAAACTGGACCCATACAGGCTGTTTGTCATGTGGCCCCTATACCGGGAGGCTACAAAGTATCAGAGCGGAGAGTACATAAAGGTGAGATCTTTAATTGTCACCGATTAAAGGGAAAACTGACATCGCTTCAGGATCTCTCGTTTCTAAATCGAGACCTCAGTAAAATCATTATGCTTGACACCGTGCCAGCACATGCGAAGCTCCAACCCGAAAATGCAGTCATACTACCAAAATGGAAAGGCGATCCCCAAGACAAGGAGCTCGTCTCATACATACCGTTCCTCGAATTCATCGCTACATTCGACTCCCGTGACACGCGGGAAGTTCTTAAGTCCTTCGAGGGGACACACATTCCCACCGAATTTGCCCGGCGCGAAGCCAAGATTAGAGAAAAGCTCCAAAAGGAGAACGCCGAGGCAAAAGCCAAGCGGCCCCGACGATCCGTGGGCTTTCTGGGCAATGTCTTAGGCACCAAACCGCAAGCTGGCGGCGTGGACGGTATGGAACACAGTCTATCCGAGGGATTTGAGCAGGGGAAAACATTCCAAGACCAGGTGCGGGAGCGAGGCCAGAAGCAGTACGAGATTATGGAGAAAGAAGTCCGGGAGAATGGTGAGAAATGGTTAAAGGAGATGGCGGAGGAGGAAAAGAAGGCGAATGAGGAGGCGATGAAGGGCATGAAGTCAAGCATCACGGGCGTTTTCCCCTTCGGGGGACGAGGTTTTGGGTCAGGGTCTGGCGAAGGAAAGCAGCCGTGAGGACATTGCGGTTCATATTTCACCCATTTCCTGCCTCCCGCGTCAGGACGGCAGAATGATTCCACTCATAGCGCGGCCCGGATCGTGATTTTAATTCAGCGACTGTATAAAACTTCCCCCTCTTATATAACACCGAACACTCCCTGTCCGCAGGCCAGCCCGTCAGTTCAAGCCTCGATACCGATCCTTGCAAGAAGTTTGCCCAGTGACTACGACCGCCGGAACCTTGTCTATGTTTGAAGACAACTCGACAAGAATACAGCCAATCGTCTCCCAGAGCCGGTTTTTCACGGTTACAAGCCATGTAGCAAGAGCTTAATAATGGTGTATCCGCCTTGTTTTGGTACCGCAATACAAACGCTCAGGACAGCAGACATTGTTGGGGAGCACAAATTATGTATTATGATCGCGAAGGGGTAGGGTTTCTGTTTTGTGTGCTTGACGACTGTCTTTTGATTATGAGTGTTGCGGAGTATTGACCGTTGCAGGCTATGCAACATGGATGAGGACTTCCCTCAAACACTAGGCTAGAAGTACGTGGTTGGGATCTACATGAGCGAAGCAGCGCCGAGTCGAGGGTAAGAACATGTAGGCTGTATGTATTTGGGGGTTGGGGAAAGATTAGGGTAGGTGCTCTCATTTCTCAATTCGGGCTTCATTCGGTGTACGTAGTCGTCATGCGATGTAATCCGATACTTCTTAGTCGGGGTGTCTTTTGTTTCTGACATTGCCCGCCGTTGATCGCGTGTACTTCCTTCCGTCGATTGGATACAGCGCGTAGCCGATTTCCTACCACTTCCCCTGCGCCGATCTACGAACAAAACTCCAACAGGCTCACAGGCCCCACGATGGCTGCGCTGGGAGTATATGCGCAGTTAGCATAGTCTCCGTACGGGCCCCCGGGCGGGTTCGACGCCGGCTTGCACTTCAGCGCTGGCGCACCGTTATCCGCGACTCCTGTGGGCAGGGAAAAGGGAAACGCTGTGGTGGGTTTGCAACCGGTGAAGGTGATGTTTTGATGGCCTAAGATGGTGAGGTCTTCATTGCAATCCTCGAACCCTTCGGGCGTGTAGCCGAACAGGGTGCCGTCTGTACAGGGGTTGCTGTCTGAGAAGAAGGCGATGAAGTGGGGTCTGTTCGAGGATGGAGTCAAGGTCTGTTTTCCAAATTATAGGCAGGGATAACAAGCCTAGAAGGCATCTATAGGACATGTATGAAAAGAACGCTCCCTCCGATGATGCAAGACGTGTCTTGCAACTAACGGTTTGAAAGGGAACACTCCTGAAGGTACGTACGAGCCGGAAGACGCGAGGTACGCGAGGTAGATGGTTTGAAGAGCTGCGGTAAGAGGAGTAAGGGAGACAGCAAAGAGAAGTTGGAGAAGGTTCAATCGCATCTTGACGGGCCTGATTTGGGGTTTCTTTTCGTGGACTAGTTAAGAGAGATTCCTTTGATAGATTTGCTGGTAACACAAGAGACCTGAATGAGTTGATGTTGAAAAACCGGTTACTTATGTAGTTTCTCTCGTAGCGGCATCGATATTAGACAATGACAAAAACGCTCGAAAGGGCAATTGTGGCGCCTTAGATCCATGAAGAATTGGATGATAGTATTAGTCTGGACGATTAGTTTGCTAAACGGTCCAGGACCATTGTGCACCTTGGACTAATTACGCTGGCCCGCCCATGGCCGGCCAGTCAGACAACAAAAGCCAAGCATGATGGCTGAAATTAGAACAGAATAAGCGAATCGTGTGTCCTAAACAGACGGAAGTTGTTTCAAGGAAGGATATCGTTCCACGGCAGGGAGATAGCGAGGTTGCACCTAAGTACTCCGACCCTGGAGCTGCACCTGGAATAATTTGTTGAACTCGGACAGCCACTGAGCAACATCCTTGTCGTCACCTTTTCGCAGGTGGTGTTGAATTTGGTTTCACCGTCTCGCAGTTTCTCGCTTCCCTTCTGTGTGCCTCTGTGATGTATCATGTGCGTCCCTTGTTTCTCTCATGGATCTGGGGCCATGCTGGGGGGTAGGATTGTCCTTGCCGATCATGAGCATGGTCCGGACATGACACACAAGACTCAAGACCGTATAAAGGATCAAGGCGCTTGTAAGCCACGCCAATGCCCTCTTAAGTGCGCAGGAAGGTGGAAAAGTGGAAGGATCAAAAGGATGTGTGGGAGGGAAGGCAAAAGGATGGGGCGGCGGCCAACTACAAGTAAGGTAGGTATAGGTGGTCTGAGTCTCCGCAGTAACTCGGCTCTCCCTCCGTCATCGCACCTCCTTTGGGGAATAGTGGCATAGCCCCTTCCTATTCCTATTTGGCGCCTACTGCGACGGACATGATACATGATACGTAGTCACTCAGACCTTCGCGTCAGATTATCACTCTTAATGATTTATCGCAGGGTAATCCTGCGACAATCACTGTATCAGATGTCAGATGTCTTGACTTATAATTACCGAGTTGCGGGATGGCATCGATGGAAATAAGCACAGCTCCGGGAAGCTGGTCAGACAAGGAAGACAAGGAAGACACAGTTGCCACAGCGCCTTCTGTCCATACTCTACATCCCTCAAACGCAGATGAAAACGAGGTTCAAGAAGCTGCCCAAAATCAGGCCAAGGGAACCAAAACGGGGGACAAAGGGAAAGGCAGAGATCAGAAGAAGCATGGCGTCATGTCGCTCCCAGCTGAAATACGTGAAACGTATGCATTCCACCAGGACTCTTTACTTCTTGTCCTTGAGCTCCGGATTACTGACTTGAACTGCTTGACTTGCAGCATTCTCTACCTCACAGACCCCGAGACCTTCGCTTCCCTCGTTCTTGTCGACCATGCCTGGCGCTCTGCTTCAGAAACGCCGCATCTCTACGCCCATCATCTCTCACGATGTCCTTCCTTTTCTCGTTCACACAACTACGTTGGAGGTCCATTCACTGAAAATAGCTTGCCAAAGCTGAAGGGACAATTTGCAAGAGAAGTGAAGAGGAACTTGTTTGAAGCGTATCTACAACCGCGGAGGACGCTCGTAAGCTTTGTATCGACGACTACAAGCTCTTCAGCAGCTTTTCCTGGGGGTGAAGCATTCGAATTCGTCTTCTCACCCAATGGCCACTGGGTGCTAGCTCTCTCTTCGTCCAGAATATATGTCATCGATACGGTTTCACCCAAAATATCCGTACAGAGGGAGTTCAAGGTTTTGCGGCGACCGGTGTCAGCAGCAATACTTGATGACGGATCAATCCTGGCTGTACTCTCGAGCGATCATCGAATCAACGTCTACAACTTACAGAACCTTGAGGTGAAGCACTTGCGCGCCGTTTCACTGGATGAATCTCCACACGCTATAGCCTTGGCACCAAAAGGCGAAGTCCTCGCTGCAGCTTTTGATGGCGGGATTGAGCTTCATTCTTTGGCCCCCAGCGCTCTAGCATCAGAGCACCGGGCTGTGAAATGTGATCGAGTGGACGCTTTGAGGTTCTCCGGCGATGGAACTATGCTCGTTGGCACTACGAAGAACAGCAAGAATCCTAACACTGTCATCCTGTCCGCGCCTTACTACTCCGAAGATCATCATCACTTACCTGCTTCGGAGCAGATAAGTCAGCTATGGACGTCGCAAATACTCTTTCCCAACAGTAGCCGGGATTGCAGTAATGCAGCGCTGCTACCAAATCGATCGGATGGAGACACAAGTTGGACCTTCACCTACGACAAGGTATTCGAGAGCTTCCGAGCAGTGCGTACAGATGATTTACGAAATGGCTCTACATACTTCACTGGTCCGAGGCCGCCCAAACGTGACGGCTCTAGGAATCCGAGAAAGAAGCTAGCGCCTTGCACGCTCCCTACTCCAAGTGACCATGGCGAGCTTGTCGCTGCAGGCTTTCTGGGCAAAGAAATTTGGCTCTATGGTGTTCCGGAGGGCCTGGACATATCTACCGTAACCCAGACAGATGATCCAAACCTTCAAAGAGCACCTTTGTCTGGGCAGGGCACACCCTCGGGTGGAGTCAGGAGTCCGTCAACATCGCTAACTCGAGGCGAAGCTATCGAGCTGACTAGGTTGCCGAAATGGCAGGTTCTGGTCGACAAGTATCGCAACGTCTTTGCAAAAGGCCGACTAGTGGCAGAGATATCTGGTGTTTCAGGAGTGTGCTGGGTCACCCGGAAGCGGGAAATATCAGGCCCACCATCGCTCGGAGAACGACTACTTATTTTTGCGCCAGGTGGCATACCGGGAGATCCGGACCTGGAACAGGATGGCTTCGCATCTGTCGATGGCGGCCGCCTTGTCATGCTTGATTTCGATCGAACTTCCCGTGGTGGCATGGTCGATGAAATTAAATTCGAGGTTGGTAACAAGACTCCGGAGCTTCTAGAGGAAGAAGATATGGATATGGACACTGAGGTTGCCCTCGCTCGAAAACGCACTGTTCGGAACTTGCCAGATCGGAGGACAACTGTAGTCGATGTGCTAGCGTCTGCGCCTGAAATGCCACCTCTGCCTCCAACAGCAAACGCCATCGCAAATGCTAATGCTGCAGCAACAGCCGCCGCTGGTAGTACCAGCGTCGCTGCTGCCCAGGCGAGTCTACCAGAGGTTGCCGATTCTCCAGCTGAAGGACTTAGCTTGGAAGAGGCCTCTGAAGTCTTTGATGGACCATATTCTCACACTCAACCTCGATCTCGCACCTCTCTGTATCGATCTGCTACAGCTGTAGCCGCAAACCGTGAACGCAATCCACCACGTATAATCTCCGAGGCACGGGTGGAATATAGGCGTGCAGACGGACGTGGAGAGCTGCCTCATGAAAGCGACGCTGACAACTGGGTTCCTCCACCTCCACCGTATACTGCTGAATCAGATAGGCCACTTCCAGAGCACCTTCGCGCTACATTGTTGCCAAAAAAGCCAGACCGTTTCTCACCATTGAGTCGAATAAGGATGACACGCGAACAACCTCGTCGCGCTAGCACCATGTACGGGAGCCCAGCTTCTAGTGTGGCTTCACGAAGGATTAGTTCTCTTCCGGAAAGGCCCGCAATGCCAATTAGACAACGGAGCTCGGAGGCATCATCAACCGCTCAGCAGACTCACCGGTCGGTATCCGACACAAATTTGCAGGGGTCTAACACAGTCAGCCCACTAAGCACTGTGAACTTCTCCTTCGGCGACGAAACCAGCGAGCCTTCTATTGTAAGTCCGCAATCAACGTCGACCTTGTCGGTTAGGAGACCCATGTCTGCTTTTGTTGGCCGGATGGGCGCATCGCTGCGAAGACCCGGTACGGCTGGATCCATCTCGCGGGTCCCTCCGATCACCGTGTCACCGGTCCCCGAACGTGTCTTTGGCCAGTCTGTGTCTTTGCCGCCGAGTCCGACGCGCAGCGAACGCCCGGGCTCGCCGCTAACTTTGACTGGGGCAAACCTTCAACAGCGCCTTGAGTACCCCCTCCCACCAGCTCCCTCTAACTCCAGCGTTGAGGCGCTGCATCGGCGCGGAGGTCCGCATGAATCATCTCCTCTGGCTGGGACGAACATGCCCTCGACACCACAGCGGTCAACCGACCGCTCTGATCTGCTTGCGAACACGGTAGCAACTGCAATGGGACCCACCGCCCAGCAGCTCGCAAACTTGAACAACCGCTCCCGCCAAGCTACTCCGGCTGGAGCACGTCGTCCGCTCCCTTCGGGCATCGTCGCTCCAGGAGGCTATCCTATGCCCGCACCACCTCGCGGCGCTTTGGGCGCAGCAGGTAGCCCTACGTCGCCGGCCAATCAAGCTCCTGCAAGATCGCTTTCAGGTAGAAATCTGTCGCTCTCCGCCAGCAACTCGTTTTCCCGCTCATCGCCTGCTCTATTACGACCCACGCCTCGCCGTTTGGAGACGATCGAAAGCGTGTCTTCTTTCATTAGCTATTCACGTACAAGGTCACGATCACGAGACTTGCAGGGAGCCGGGAGTGGAGGGCATAGGAGGAGCCAGAGTATGGGCCCGGCGCTGAGGTTGGATAGGGCGCCGACGAAGAAGGGGTGGTTGGGTTCTCGCAAATATAGGAAGGCAAGGAGTGAAGGGCAGAGTTGGGACAGTCCTGTTGGCGAGGACGGAGGGAAGGAGAAAGGGGCGAAGTGTATAGTGATGTGAGTGTATGTACATTTTCAGGGCTCGCAGGCGCAGGTTAAAGGGATGGGGCTTCAGTGCCGGTGGCAAGGCTTCGGTATGCATTGGGGGCGTCTATTTTATACCCTGAGTGTACATCATGCGCATATGTACACATATTGAGCATTGCTTTCTTTTCCATTGACATGTTCATTTAAATATGTATACCTGCGAATCTAGGACATTTTCTTCACCGCAGGACCAGCTCACCGGTTCCAGACCGTAGGTCTGGAGTGCATTTGCTGATTCCAACAGTGACAACTATTCGACAGGTCTATTCAGAAGGACTCCCAGGTAAGCCACACGATGCTACCGTTTGATTCCAACGTGGCCATCGTACACAGTCCATAGGCTAGGAATCCCCCGCGTACCAGCGTTTCCCGCTACCTATTATCTCCAAATATCGAATCGGAGGAATGTGTCGCCAAATTCCCCCCCCGCAGATCAAAAAGGTCTCATGGGAAGCTGGTAGGCACCGGCCCGTTGACTACTATAGTACATTAGCCAAATTCGAGATGCACGCGCCATCCCAAGCCACTAGGTACTCAACCAAGGGTGGCAATTGCGGTGGAGTAGGTTTCACTTCGTGGAGGGTGTGAGCGCTCACAATGGAAACGAAAAGCTGCAGGTCTGAGCATATTTCTCACATGTGAGATGTCATTGCAGACTGATCTGCCAAATGGGGCCTCGAAGTCATGCGTTGATCACGTGAGATAGGGGCGGAGCACTGAGAACTCTAGTATTTGTCGGGATTACCTTTTCAAGCTATCCCAGTCAATCGTGGCAATAGCAAACTTCAGGAAGCTACGGTAGCTTGGCGGCTCCTTTCCACCCTATGCTTTATGGCAACGTCATGATCGAAGATTTGCAAAACCCTAGGAAGGACACGAAGGCCTGGCCTGTTGCCCAATGGCCTATATATGTACCGCATTGAAAGGGTTCGATTGGCGAGCTTCAATGCAGGTCCCCTGTTTAGACATGATGCTAGACGCTGCAGAGGCAGTGCTCCCTCGTTCAGCTAGCAAAATCAGCCCCCCACGGTCTACGCCGATCAAGCGCTTTTTCTCCACACGCGAGACACCTCAACAGCGCAGCATGTTCATTGGTCAAATTTTCTTCCGAATACAAGCGTTCTCCAGGTATGGCAGTCAGGCATCGCTGTGATTCTCAAAATGGCCGGAGAATCTTTGGCTTTTTCAACGTCATAAAGTATGGATCACTGCTTTTCCATGGAACTTGGGCGTCTGCCAAAGCAGGAGGTCGTGCAACTTCACCTTCGTAATCGTCTAGTGGAAGACGTCCATTCTTGAAGGACAGTCTCGCATTCACTATATCTGTATTTCACAAGCTGACTTCAGAGCATGCTTCAGAGGCGTCCGAAAAGGCCTTGATGTGGACTGGAGACGAGAAGGCCGAAGAGGTCTTTAGAGGTCTAGTGCACTTCCGGTTGCGTGGAAAAGACTTCGATTGGCGCGGGCTTCTGTGAGACTGTTGCATACTAAGCCTACATACACTACTGCCAAATGTCTCACACCATAGCATGCGAACGTGCAGAAAACGACCCGTTATCACACCGGCAGAATCTAATTCGCCATATGATTCCGAGTACAAAGTTCCACCAGGCACAGAAGCTTATTGATTGCGCCAAATTCTCCTCGCAGATCCGTCTCATCAATCACAATAACTTCCGGGCTATGCCACCCTTACTGGAAACGTCAGCGAAGATAAGATACGACGATATCGAATCAGAAGTGGTCCCACCTTTGCGGATATATAGACCCGACGAAGGCACAGCGCGCGAAGGAAGTTCGTTACTTACGCGCAACGGCTGGTACGAATGCGGTATTGGCGACACCAATCGCCACACGATTTCAAAGCCGCGACATGCCTTTCTTGGGAAATCTGCTGCGTATTTGCGACACCAATGATTTTGCGCGCTCCGAAAGTCGTGCCGAGGTTTCAATGGGGGTTTGAAAAAAGGCTTTGAGATGGGGTGTTATAACACAACGGTGTCTGCTCCGCAGTTTGTCTGTTTCCAACCCAAAACAGTTTACCCATCTAAAACGATTGTTGCGCCCGCCAGTAGAACCCCAATTGTTCTCCTCCCCAAGTACAACAAAGATGTCCGTCCACGCCTCCGTCTACACCCCGCACACCGCCTGCCCATCCAACCTCCGCACCTTCAACGCCGACGGCTCCCGGATCAACCCCTCCACCTCCTCGCATCACGACTCTCAAGAACTGCTCCCGAAAAACGACAGCAACAACAACAACAACATCAACATCAACAACAGCGTGATGCAAGACCCGCTATTGGACAAAACGTACGCAATCACCCCGCACCGCGTCCGGTCACAACTCCTCGTCAACAACCTCAAAGCGTCGGGCATACTGCCGTACCAGGCTGATGAGACTGGTAGGCCGCCGCAGCTGAAGCACAGCGCGAGGGGGCTGGAGGCGATTGGGTTCGATGAGAACGCGAGTATGTATTCGAGTTATAAGGGGGAGGGGCAGAGGAGGGTGTGGAAGGATGATGGTGGGGGGAAGGAGAAGAAGGTGGGGGGGAAGAGGAGGTTTTTGAAGAAGTTGGTGGGGAAGGGGGAGGAGAAGGGGGAGAAGTTGTGAGTGGGTAGCTGCGGGTGAGAGGGAGTGGATGGGGGTGAGGGATGTATGTTTGTCAAAGGAGGAAGGACGGAAGGGTTCTTGTTGACGACTGAAACGATTCTATGTATTAAAATGGGACTGGAAAGATGAGTTGAGGGACATGGTTTTGAGATGAGGTTGTTTATATGCGGACAAGGAAGAAAGGGAGATGTAACGACTCCGATACAGTATTGTCAGTGTGATGTTGGGCTCAAGAGACAGCCAAACACACGAAAGGAACAAAGCCCAACGTATAACAGATTCAGTACTTGTGCTACATTAGACAATTCATTGACAATGCAAGAATGAGGAGAAAGATTCTGTTCCCCTTACAATCACCACACCGGAACACACCCAACCCTCCTTCACAACTCTCACTGCTCGTTTCACCACGCGCAAGAGCCATCATCCTTCCAACCAACAACACTCCTCACCTCGTGGCACAAAACCCCCGCAACGTAATAGAGTATTCAAAATAAAACTCCACTTGCAAACACAGGACACATGAACAGGCAAACCGCAGTTTCATTCCACACGTGCACACTGCAACCCGAAAGAAGCTGCGTCTCCCCAACGGCCTACTCTCCGTACAACAGACCGTTGACCCTGCACGAGGGTATCTGTATCAACATCACAAGCGAAAGGGGTCCAGCGAGACTCCCAAAGTCCCCGCCGGCACTCAAAGCCTGTTGATCGCTGTATCGATGCAGAATGATGCCGTGGACGGCACGTAGTAGATCAACCTTCGGTGCAGTGGCCCTCTCATGCCAGGCGCGTACGGCCTTGACGTAGAGTACACCTTGCATCGCACCATCATAGGGATTTGAACGCCGAAATGTCAATTTCCGAACAGCATGGACTCAATGCGAAATCCTACCCCTGCGGATCTGCAAGAGCGCGCGAGGTTTGGCTGTACATGTTATCCCCCCCTCGGGATTGCGGTTGGAAGAGCCCTGGGCTGTTGTAGATGGCGGGCGTGTATAAGACGGAGGCGGAGACGCTTCAGGAATATTCGACAGCTTTGACACACGGTCCCACGTTGCTTGTTGTCGATCAACGCTTGGATGAATCCGCGCGGGGGGGAAGATAAAGGGGCTGGCTGCTCGATTGTTGAAGGAGGTGAAAGAGAGAGAGATTTTTTTTTACAAGCGATCGACCTCATCGTCGCGATTCCCATGGAACCGAAAGGAGGAGTCCAGCCCTCTGATTGAAGTGGTACAAAACCATTCCAGCATCAGGATTGGAAAAAACGTCGAAAAAAAGCGTGACCTAAGCCAGCAGAGAGAACTCAACCTTCTTGGCATCAGGACAAGCGCCCCTCGGCCATGGAATTTTTCAACCCGCTAAATCCGAAAATCTCGGACTTAAAAACGCAGTCTCCAACCCACGAACCATTCATCCCCAACTTCCACCCCCACAACCTCCTCCACCGACCTCCCTCCGCACCCCATCCCCACCAACCACCCCTCCCAAGAATGGCACAAGGCGTCATCAAAACCCGCAAACCCCCGCCCTCCTCACGCAAACCCTCCACCGCCGGTCCCAAAAAGGGACAACGGGCCATCGCGCCGAAGAAGAGGAATCTGGTGGCGCAGAAGAAGATCACCAAGGTACGTCAGATATCGGATGTTGTTCGGTTGATAGAGAGAGTGGGGGGGGAGAGAGGGAGAGTGTGTGCGCGGCTGACGGTGTGTGCGCAACGGTGTAGAAGTATACGGCCGGGTTGACGGGGAAGACGGAGCGGGCGTTGGCGGAGAGGGCGGGGCATTTGGAGATGTTGGGGGGGGGGAAGAAGAAGAAGAAGAGGGAGGAGAGAAAGGGGGGTGGTGCTGGGGACGGGGAGGGGATCGAGGGTGGGAAGGGGAAGGGGGGGAAGTAGATTGGGGGGGGGAAGGAGATGGTGTTTGTTGGGTTGACAGAGGAGGAGGGGGGGGGAGTTTGCTTGGGATAACTTCGAGGAAATTCTGCGAGAGGGACGGGATGCGCCGGCCAGCCTAGAAGTACAAGTGCGAGCGATAAAGACACCCCTTGCTGCTCCGCGCGTGGATATCGCCAAAACACCCGAGCGCCCACAAGACTTCCAGTTCCAATCAAAAGTCCGCTCGGACAATCAAACGGCCCTCGCCGCCTCTCCACCACCCGACTCCAACGCCTCCTGTCTCGCCTTTCCCTTTCCGATACCACCTAGACCTACACCCATCCTCCTAGCGACGTACCTCTGCGCAACAACGCCCACGCCCAGGGAAAGCACTTCTTCAACCCACTCCGCAACCCACTCTCTCGGATCTACGCCACCTGAATTCACAATCTCCGCAATCTCGTCGGGTAAGCCTGACTCGGCTGATTCGGAAGTTGCGGACGCGTCAAGCCACTCGGTCCATTTCTGTGGCAGCGTTTGTGTGACGGTGTTGAATGTGATGCCGTGGATAGGATCGTGGAGGTAGATAGCAAAGGAGATTAGCTCGTCATCCTCTTCTGGCTCGACAGCACCTTCCTCACCCTTTGGCTGAGACTTTGGACCGCCTAAGAAGTCTTCGGGCGAGGTCTGGCTGATGGCTTGGATGGCAAGGAAAATGTCGCTGCTGCGGACTGGGTTGCTTTCACTCAGGACCTCCGTAGCCTGCTTGGCCGCTTCCTCCAACCCACCGCGTGGCGCAAAGTAGTCAGTTGCGTAAGACTCGGCGCTGACTTTCGAGAGCTTGGTTCCCTCTACAAGTCCCTTGACGGCTCCCAAGTTTCTAGCTTCGGTCGCTTGCCTCCACCAGGGCCCATCGCTCCAGCCACTGCTGCTTGAGCCTGTGAAACCCGCATCCTCGCCGCGCCTCTGAGTGGATTCTTGCCCCCGCTGGATGACCATGAGATCGCCGCCCTCGACTTGTGCCATGACGCGGGAGAAGGTAGAATAAATTAGGGGATCGAGTGAAGGATAGCCGACGATGTCGTGGGTGATGTGGATTTGTAGACGCTCATGCGAGGAGATAGGTGGAGCGAGGGTGTGCAAGATGTTTGAGAAAGTTGGAAGGGCGCGAGAGCGAAGTTCGCCGCCTAGAATCAATGTCAATCTCAAGATGACAGCTAGAGGAACATTGGAAGAGCGTACCTAGACCGCGTAAAGCACCCACATTGCCCTTGACCTGCTCTGCCCACCGCTGAGCCTCCTCGTTCTGCCTGATTTCCTTTGCCAACGCTTCAGCCTGCTTCACAGCAGCGCTCGCCGTAGAGAACACGCTTCCCCACCATCCTCCACCCGAGCTCTGCGCCTGCACTGCTTCTGGCACAAAAGAGGCAGACTTCTCGGGTTCACTCTCCCCTTCTCCACTGCTCGCCGGGGTAAAGCTGTTATGGAAAGATCGGGTACTGTCTCCCGACTTGCGTAGACGTGCTTTCTCCTCACTGGACCGCGCGCCATCGGTAGAGCTAGGTGTAGCTGCTCGAGTAAGCTTAGGAGACGACCTCGTTCCCGATGCTGTTGATGTACTCTGTGGCCGAGGCGTATGTGGGCGACTGCTGGGCTTTGGTCTCTCTGGTATGCCTAGTTCTTCGAGGAGATCTGCATCTGTTTGCTGGCCGTCTGTTGCTGGTTTGGGGGCTTGGACTGCGGTGCCATCGCCCTCCAACCCCTCGAATTGAGCGAAAAGCTCTTCATCCGTCAGCTTCTCTTTCTTCGACATGATTGCAGGTTTTCAAATTCGTACAATGGGTGGAAGTGAAGTGAAGTGGATGATGCTAGTTGGTTGCTCGGGATTGGGCCAGGGTCCTCGGCTAGTGTTGCTCTTTTGAAAGATTGATGGAAGTGAATTGAACAACACCACAATAATATCATTGACCGGTTAAATAATTAAATAATGTCTATTGACTGTATTGTAAAGATGGCTATTGTCCATCCATCCTGGCGAATTGACCAGCCACTCGCCTCTGAATGGGGTATAAGTAGGTGTCCGAATCTCTTCCAAATTTCTCATTCTACATCATCCACAACGTTACATTGCTGTACGCAGACATTTTCTACAAGCATCTTCCTCCTTTACTTTGGCTACTTCTCGTACTATTGCATCATCTCCGAGGTCTGGTACCCGTTGTTTCTACAAGAATACCCCCTTTTCCCCATTTTCAGCAAGCTTCTTTTGCTCTCAAAGCTATCATGGACCCCGATGTAAGTCTCGTTCTTCCGGCTGCGTTCCCATCTCTCTGACAAATGCAGTCATACCAAGCCTACATCGCCGGCCAGGCTGGTCCTGACAGTCCCTACCGTTTCGGCCTCACGTCGTCTCAATACGTCCAGCATCTGGCTAAAGTCGCTCCTGTTGGCCGCTTTGGTGGTGCTATTCGACCGGCTGGTTCCCCGTTGAATCCAGCTACGTCTCCTTACGACAGTCCTTATACTGCTACCACTGGACAGGCTGCTTCCCGGTTGGTTGGAGCAGATACTCGTCCTGCTACCCCTTCTCCTGCCAACAATGGACCGGCTACTGGCCCGTCGATTGGCGCCATTGCTTGTCCTGTTACTCCTACCACGACCGCTGGACCGGCTACTGGCCCGTCGATTGGCGCCATTGCTTGTCCTGTTACTCCTACCACGACCGCTGGACCGGCTGCTAGCCCAAATATTGGATCAAAGACTCGTCTTGTTACCCCTGCTCTCTCCGCTGGAAACAACAGCGTCCCCTCTTCTCCGGCTCAATCTCCGGTTCGTTCCCCATCACCAGACGCCATACAGCTCATCTCGTCCCTCGCAAACTACGAATCCCTCTCGGATGATGCCCTCTACGATGCAGCATTGAATGCTCAGCAAGCCATGGTGAAATGGCAAGAGGAGTACATGGCCCTCGAGACCGAAATCACTCGCATGCGCAGATTCCCTCACAACAGGAAAGAGAAGCGCAAAGCCAACCCACGCAAAGTCGAAGATCCCGACGAATACGACTCTCCAGGGCAGCCTACCCCCAACATCACCCAAACGACGGGTAACAACCCCCGAAACACAACCAGACCACGTGCCACCAACCCCATCAACAAGCCACCTTTCAATGGCCGCAGACCCCGCAACGAGCTCCATATCGACATGAACGAGCCCATGCAGCCCGTCGAAGGCAAGCGTATCCGCAAGCCACGCGTCATTGACGACATCGACGCAGCGGTAACCGCCCCCCAAAAGTCCACCAAACGCGCCCGCGAGCCAGAGAACGACGCTACCAATGTACCGGCAGTAGACCAGCCAGCTGCCAAAAAGCAGGACACGCGCGCCCGCTCATTCACGCCACCGGACTGGGTCCGTACCGCTCGCACCATCGAACCGGAGGCCAAAGAAACCTCCGCAGCCCCTCAGATCGAACCGAAGAAGCGGGAACGACCCGCCAAAGCCGCCCCAAAGCCACTCATCAAGACGGAGCCGAAGGAGGAGACGGAGGGCAAGGATCCCGTGAGAGCGGCGGCCGCGAGACTGATGTGGGCGAAGCGCCAGGCGAACGGGACGAATGGGCGCCATGGAGGTGCGCCGAAGGGGAGTACGGTGGCCAAGGCGAAGGGGAAGGAGGAAGGCGGAGAGGGCGAGGAGGGGGGGAAGTAGCCGGAGAAAGGGGGGGGGCTGGAGGGGGAGGATTGGGTGTGATTTAGCGAGATGCAGGGGAAGATACCCCGAACATGACACGAAATGGCACGTTGTTTAGTTGAGTGTAAACCGAGGAATACTTCGTTGTTGGGGGAGATACCCCAAATATCACACATTGAATGGTCCGGAACCGGAGAAAGGATCCAAAATGATGAATTTGTGTCTATGCTCTCGTGACTCATAAGGCATCATCTCATCAATCTGTCTACGTCAAGCCCTGAACCTCCAAGTCCGGGCCCATTGGAAGGTCATATGGAAGGTCTACAAGCCCATCCAACATCCAATTCAAGGGGTCAAAGACCTCGTAATTGGATTCCCCACCGAAGCCATCCGAAGGGGTGAGGGTACCGCCGACCAGGGCTGAGGGGGCGAGACCGTTGTCTGCGAGGGAGGTGGCGGAGGATTCGACGGCGGAGTCGGGATTGGTTGGGTTTCTGAGCGCGGCTGGGGACATTGTCAGCGATTGACGAGTACTTGTAGACAGGGAAAGGAAGAATGGGCATACATTCGAGGTTACCGCGACCTTGGGCTTGGAATTCCTCCCGCCATCGCCAGACGGAGTCGAAAACCAGGCTCATGCTCATACGGCATTTGACTTTGAGTTGCAATGAGCTGTCAGTGCTGTCATTGGTCGCGACCGCTCGTCTCGAGCCAGCTCCGCTGCTTCTCCAGAGCTGTGCCAAGACCTCAGCTAATCTGTTTGGCAGATCATTTGGGAAAACACTGATGGATCGGATTGCTTGAATGGTGCGGTTGAATAAGTTTCTGCCGTATTCGATGTCGACGTGACTGGCGAAGAAGCTGTTCATTAGCTTCAACAGCGAGAAGCCACCGGCAATAATCATTTGGAGGATGTAATTGGTAGAGTAAATGAGTACGTTGCCCGCGGCTGTGTTGACGTTGAAGGCCGCTTCAAGGAACAAGGTCGTCGAGCGCCACAAGGCGAAGAGGTCCATGTGGTAACCGTTTGAGGATGGGGAGTCGAAGAAGGCTGAGAGACGGAGATGAAGGTTGGCGGCGCGGAGATAGACTGTAGAGACTGCCAAAGTGTTAGAATTCTTGGAGGCTGGTGCCAGGGTCGAGGCGATCTGAAGACACGAAAAAGGTGGCCACAAAGGGCGAAAGTTGGGGTCGCAAAAGATGCACGTACAAGAACCATGAAGCTGCAGCTTTTGCTCCAGATCCTCGTAATCTCTAGCAAGGAAAGTGGTATGCGTCCATCGCTCGTTGTCACTGACCAACCCTACAGGGTCTAAACGATTGCTGTACAGCGCCTTTGTAACTTTGTTGCTAAACGTTTCAATCAACAATCGTCCATAGACGTCATCAGAAAGTCTAAAGCTAGGTTCGTGTGCCCCTGAAGGAGCAAGCGTCCAGTCAAAGAACGTTGTTGGAGGTTGACCGTAGCCAGTAGCGACTCTTTTGAGGTTCAGCTTCTGTAGGCGGGTGGAATGCACGATGGTAAGACTTACCGCTGTGCGACAGCATTGCAAGTAGCCCATGTCCGTACACGATCCCTTAACTCCTCTTCCCGCAATTCAACCTTGAATTTGGTAAAGTCTTGGGCATGAGAGGGTCGGTGCAGGCCAATCTGCATTGCGATTTGCATCATCAATCCGGAGAGCATGAATGTCGGGTCTGAAGAAGTGCTGCTTATTGGTAGAGGCCACGTGCAGAGAATACATAATGCTTTCACAACAATGTAGTTTTGGGGAACTTCTGCAAGCGTCTTCCAAAGTAGTTCAGATAGTGGACCAGCCAACGCCGTCAGAAGAGAGAGGTCGTATCGACGAGTCGCTACGCTGACGATGACCCAGAATAGCAAAGGGGATGATTGGTGGTATTCGTCTGGGGGCCTTGTTGGATCGAGGAAGGGTATAAAAGGATGGTGGAACGTAAAGAAGCTGGTTATCCTGTCAGACGAGTTTCATGTAGGGTCTGGACTATCACATACTACTGGAACAATTCCTGCACCTGGTCGTGGGTAAGAACAATATCCCCAATCCGTCTGGTAAGCAGCAGCTGGGCATTTGGACTCCTTAAAAAGGATCCACCCTCAAGTCCAGATCTCAAGTCCATCAAAGATGCCACAGCCTCCTCGGAGCCCATATACTGATCCAGATGTGCAGGTAGGTGGGATATAGTAGGGCTAACAGAAGTACTCAATGCAGCCTTGATCGTAGGTCCAGTCGTAGGTGGTGAGGTCTGTTGGAGGCCTAGCTGCCTTCTCAACTCCACGATTTCTCGCTCCATCTCTGCATTTTTGCTCCGCTTTCCTACTCTTTTGAAGTTGGACTCGATCTTGCACTCCAGGTTTAGGCGCTGACATCGTGTGCATGTCGTGTACAACGGTTCCGTAACAACGTCGCACCGTAGCTGATCGTTGACTCATCAGCTGTGTAACCTTCTCTGCGCACGACCAATGCCAAACCCACCTTCTGCTGCCGGCATTCATTACACGCCCTCTTCACTCCGGGTTGTCTCCTCTTATCCCCAAAACTGCCCTCATATTCATCCTGCTCACTCGCGCTCGAACTCTCTCTCTTCCTGCTGCGTTTCCCTTTGACACCGGTGGGGCTGGCGGCTGTACTTGTGGGAGCAGTATTGCCAACACTGCCAGCACTGCTCTGTGGACGAGGCAATGCAGCGGCGGGCAGCGGGTTCATGGGACCGGAGAAGCAAGGGGGACTTAGTTGAGACAGCGCTCCGAAGTCGGTGATTTGAGAGGGCGACCATGGTGGGGGATTTAGCGTATGCACAAAGGTCCGGAATCCTTGGCGCTGAGAAAATCGCACACACCCCTTCAAGAACAGTAGTGAATAGCTTCATCTTCTCCAATATCGTAATTTTATTACTACCTTCGTAACAAGTGAAGCTTCTGTATACCTCGCTTAGCCATTTCTTGGTGTTTCTTCTCGATGATTCCATATAGCTCCCAGCCAACGTAGATAGATTACGATTCTATAGCAAAGGAAGGAGGAGAGGCCAATAGATATTGTGGGCGAAGAAAGAGATATTACGATATTTTTAAGCAAAAAAACTAAAGCAAGGTGTATAGGAACTTTACTTGCTACGAGTGGTGAAAAGGTTAAAAGAGAGAAGATGAAGCTATTCACTACTACTCTTGGTGAGGATGCTAATAATCGTGCCACGCACTTAACTGGCTACCTCGACACTAGCGAGGTAAATGCGTAGCACGATTTCCGTGGAGAAGGCGGACTGGGCAGAGTGTACGATTTCAAATAGCTTTCTCTTATATTTACAGATGCGCGAAGATCCTTTGAATACAATGCCAGAATACATCCCCGAAATTGCCTTTTTTCCATTCTTTACCTCTCATACTTAAACGGATAATTCCTATTCACTATCACCGCCCCATGAGGACACGCAGTATTCTTCGGCAGATACATCGGCAGTACTGAAAGACAAGATACATCAAGGGTTCCATCCGCATTGACGTTGACCACCGAGGACCCTCCAGCCTTGCCCTCAAGCGTGCAGTCATAAGCACCATCAAACAGCACCGGCAAACTCAGTCCCTGAAGGTTTTTGTAAAGCGTCAAAGCAGCGGAGGGATCCGTCGTACCGTTGGCAGCGGGCGTTCCAGCGGAAGAGACCTGATATTGACGCTGCGGGACGGAGCTCCAGTAGAAGGTCTCCGATTCTCCGCCCGTAGACACGCTTGAATGACACACAGTACCTTTGGGACTGCAGGTTCTCTCTAGCTGGAAGGCCGCTAGAGTAGATGTGGCGAGGGCTGTTGCGGTGAAGTTGTGTTTTGACAGAACCTCAGACAAAGCGTAGGTGTTGGCCGCGGCGTCGAGGGGGGGAATTGGTCAGGATTGGTGACGTTAGGGGGAATTATTTCAATACCAGTCTCACCGGAGAAGAGGCCGGCGCCAGCGAATGTGATGAATGTTGGGACATCGCTCATGATCAGCTGGAGACCTGCTTCCAGAAATCGAATTAATGGCGGATGCGGACGGCAAGCTCGCTTGCGACACTCGGCGAGTTGGGTGCTGTTCGTGGTTGAGGGCCACATTGCAGAGCTAACCCCAGGCGCGTGACGCAGACTTTTTGTGAAGGCTTGAATAGCTATGTTCGCTGGATTTGAGACATTTGTTGATGGCTGCATAGAAGCTCCTGCAGCAGCAGTCTTGAGAGGAAAGTCAGTAAGGTGATCGATGAAGGCTAGATCGGACACTGCCTACACCCCAGAATGGCAGCCCGGCAGTAAAGGCTGTCGAGAGAGCCCCCAAGTTGATCTTTGCGTCTCCACTTGTTGTCACGATAGTTGAGAGTGTCGAACTTTGCGTCGATGTTGATTGAAGGGCTAAATCAGGATTAGTCAAAAGCAACGAATTAGTGATTATGCATATTTGAACGATCTATGACTGACCAGTATAGTAATTGGTAAAGAACGCATTGATGGCCAGTATGTTGCTCACAGCATGTGGCCTGAGGCGCAATGCTTGGAGACAGGAACGGTAACAACTGAATTGGCTGCGTCCAATCACAGGAAGCAAGTGGTGCGCCAATTCCTCCAGTGGTGTTGTTGCTGGTACAATCCTCCAGATTGACTGTTGCCGCTGCTCGGCGCAGAAAACACGTTGACCAGGGTTCATCTGGCCTGCAGCAGTTTGTGTCTGGTGTTTGAAAGTTTGTCACTGCTCCTACATAATCTCCGTCGGTGCAATTGGGGGTCGTCGCTCTCCATCCCGTTGCTGGATCGCCGAGATATTTTGCAATGTCCAGCTGGTCCCAGCATGTGCTGTCGAAGTTACCGTTCAGTTGCGTGCAGCTGGAAGCTTGCCTTTTTGCAACAGACTAAAAGGTTAAGACACCGTCGATAGGTTTCCCCGCCGCAAGAGCGAGGAATGTAGAAGCTGGCACAGCAAAATGAGGAAATGAACTTAACATTGTGGGAATGAGCGAGCGACGAGATGGTTCTGAGATTGCGACGTACGTATTCTTAGTAGTAAAAGTCTAGAACAAGAATATGGGATCAGATGGATCTCATGAAAGGGCATCGACGGTTTGTACGTCTTTATACAGGAAGCGCATTGATAGTTAGGCTCACAGTCACCCCACTTGAAACGACGCGGCCGTGGTTCCTGGCTATACATCGCGGTGTGCCGTTTTATCGCGATCTGGCAGATGGCTTGTTTCGCCTTCGTTTTTTTCACGTTCCGCAATGCGTATAGCATTAGATCTGTGCTATTATCCAGTAGTCTGGTGAATAAGCTGGACGCCAGAGAAGTCCCATTCGAGTGGGGCGTCTACTGCGCGTATGTCACATTGAGGCTGAGGCGACTGCCCAAATCGGGTAGAGTATGCCGTCGCTGTTTCAGCGCCAACAGACACGCAATTCATAACCATAGGTCTTGACAAACTCATTTTCTTCTTTCTTGACTGACTCCAAAGTCGAACGTCGGAAAAGAGAGAATGGAAAAGATTATCGAAGGATTGGTTTGTTCTAGCGTAGTAAAGTCTGCACTCGAGAAAGGTAGTTCACCCGTAACGTACCAAGTAGGGATTCGTCGATTATTCAGTAGCACGATGGAGGTAGCAGAGTGTTAGAAGTACGGCGGAGCGTTGAACCTGTCGAGGACGCCCGCTGGTAAGTAGACACTACGCGGACGAAGGACTGAAGGACCGTTGAAGTGCGGTGGGAAGCTTTGCTTCCTTGGCAACGCCGAACAAGCAGTATTCATCGCCAACGTGCCCTTTTCCCCTTCCTGAACACTAAAGTATCCGTGGACCACATCGTCGGCTCTCGAATTCTACGAGAGCTGATGGATTAGATGACCCTCCCTTCCAAAAAGCCTCACAACGTACCCGGGTCTCTCAATGCCAGTCCCTTTTTATTTGCTGCAACTACTCACTGAAATAGGCATTATGGCTATCAAAACTTCTGCAATCCTCCTTACTACTTCCCCATTTCCAACCGGTATTAGCCATACGTAATAGTCCTTATAGCCAACCAATATAGCAGGTCCCTCTCCTTCCGCTATCCTTACTACTAAGTCGTATGAAAACGGTGTAGAAAGCTATATACATATACGGACGAGCGTAAGCCTTCCTACAGTCAATTTTGCGCCTAGCAATGCCGATATAGAGTCTCTGTTGATTCGTGTTATGGGGTAGAAATAAGAATGGCAAATAGGAAATATCGATGCATTAATGCGCGGGAAATGTGAGGGCTATAGTCGGCGTTAGGCATAAACCTCGTGTCGACTAAGATCTAACCTAACTAGTCTAGGGGCCCGACATAGTCACCAAAAGGGGTGTCACCCGATCAGGCTTTTATGGATTGTGCGGAGAAATTTCTCCGTCGCCAGCCCCTATGCATCAAAACGGTAATAGGTATCTATGATTACGAATCAGATTTGAATAGTTACTATCCAATAGTAAGGTGCTATCAAGGAACTAGTAACTACTTGCAATATCAGATAGTTACTATCGCAATAGCAGAAGTAACTTTGATAGCCCCTATTTTCTTAGGAAATGCTAAGTGATGGCCAGGACTTATTGCTTGGGCCCGTTATGCGTAGATCTTGGGTGTTTCTGTTTCAGCTTCCTGGATTTCATTTCTGTAACACTAGCGTTGGGCTAACGGTGTCGCCGACTCTGTAGGACTGCCATGAAGCTCTTTCGCTAAGTATCAGCCGTACCTACGACTTCGGACGAGTGGTTACAGATGACTCGACACTTATCGTCCGAACCAAGATATACAAATTGGTAGAACACTTTAAACGTTTGCACAGCAACTACTCGTGCCATCCACAAGTGAGTTATCTCGCTTAATAGCGCCGGGAGAATCCACCAATCAATCTACCCAGATCTCCTGGAAATCGTACTACTCGTGCTGTCCGAGAAGTGAGTTCTTTGATAGAGCGAGGACACCAATAAATCCTTCCACTTAGCCGAATATCGGTTAATCTATTGGTGTTCAATCGCTCCCTATCAAAGAGTATCGTCGTCGAGGGATAACGTTACGTTAAGACGCTAAAATCTTTAGCAGAGGAAGAAGCTTATTTCTGGAGCGATAAACTCGACTATGAATTATCGTTAGTGGGCTCGGTTCGTCCGGCGCTAGATGTGCTCAGCCATCCAACGGTCTCGTAGCAAATTTCAAATTGTCTTGGCATGCTTAAAATACTTTCTTGTGTTTAAAGGGGATAAAGGAGTATCTCGTATTTCTTTCTTCTCCACAAAACATTCTTTCCTATTGCAACTTTTGTCTTTCTTCCTTGTATACGACCACTCCGACGCTCATTGACAGCATCTCCTACGTTGCAGCGTTTGAAGCAGGTTTCATACAGCACTGTGGAGAAAAATACTACGCATAATCTACATAGTCACACCGAACATGATTTCCCTCACCGTCTTTCTACTGTCTTTGATCGCTCTCAGCGCCGCCCAGAACCAGACCGTCTCTTTATTCATCCCTGATGCGGATCCGCAAAGCCTTGTTGGGTCGATCGTTGGGGGAGTAAGAGATCCTAACCTGACTTTCTGAAATATGCGGAGCTGACGATGAATCTATCAATCAGGATGCCACAGCAACCACCTATGTTGTTCAGTGCGCCAATGGTGGATCCAACGGTGCGGCAGCTACCACCGCAGCAGCAGCCACCACCGCACCCGCCGCGGCAACTACCGACTCTGGCGACGATGGGAGTGATTCGTGCGGGCTTCCAACTCCTCTAACCCTTGTGGAGGGCCCATCGACTGTCGCCTATTCACTCGCTCTCGATGACTCGTAAGATTTTGTCCCTGTGTCTGGCCATTGTCGCGACTGACTTCCGTGCAGTGTCGTATCCGTCAACTGCGTTCTTTCAGGCACTTCGGTAGCAGTGTGCACCGCGGCAGCCAGCGGTGCTATCCTAAGCCAGGAGACTGGAGTACCCACCCTGACAGCCACCACTCTATCTGGCACCGACGTCTCCTACCTGCCCGTAATTATCACGGCCGGCTCAGTCACTAATACTGCATCAACACTCACATCTACCACTGCATCGACCACTGGGGGAGCGAAGGGAGGATCGAACGGTGGCTCTACAACCTCGAATGGTGGAACACAGACGCAAACCGGTAGCACCACCAGCGCGTCAACGAAAGCGAGTGGTGCTGCTATGCACATGGGACCAGCGATGGGTATGGGAGCAGCGGGTGCCTTGGCGGCCATTGCTGCTGTGGTACTATAAGTGCAGCGTTGCGGAAGCTCTGCATAAAGTTGGAAGCAATCGATTGGCATGGCTGTATACATGCATTAACGTGTACATTAGCGTAGCCCTGCACGGAGTCGGCCTGAAACGACTTAAGAGTACACAATACAAGACTAGATTGTGCTGCACGAAGACCGAGCACGCCCGAGCCATGCCTTGTTAAGATCATGGCTTGTCACCCAGTGTCTCCTGTAGCTATCACACGACACACGTTAACAGGAATTGGCCTCATGATCATTACTGTTGCCATCCGCAACAATCCCAAGAAACACGACTCTGGCTTCAGGGTCAAGAATTGTTGTTCCCGCTAAAACATGTTTCTTGAGGCTTTGATGATCTGGTTCGCTGGTCTATTTTAGCACACGCTCCCAGCGGCATCGTCGTCCTCCACTAAAACACACGACTCTCGGGAAAAGTTTGGTATCAGCTCTGTAAAAGAAGTCTCCATCTTATGTCGGTAAGTCAAAGCGCCGTCCCAAGGTCGAATGATTAGCTCGTCCGCCTTGCATATGCAGCGTCGTCTGTCACATGAGCCAACCGTTGATGATATACCGAGTACCTAAGATATTATTGGGGGGCCGGGGGGGCGGGACGGCTAGAAGTTTAGGGGGTTATGCTAGCGTCGCAATCAAATCCCCGAACATGTCAACTTCAAGTATTCAACCGTATTTCTTTTTTTAAAGGCAAAAAAGATAGACGCTCATATCATTGTTCCCAAAAGGCAGCAACTTAGCCCCCACAGCGATTCCTTCGGTATCTAGCTGACAGCCCCTAGCGACGGATTCGCGCAGCTTGCCGCGGACTCGGTCAGCCTGCGGCCTATCGCATGAACGACTGCATCAGCCTCTAGGATCAGTACACCTTGCGCTTCCTCGAGCGACTCATCTTCCCATCGCTATCCACCAATTTTCTAGAGCTAGCTTGAAGGACAAAGTCACCGCACACTCGAACCCCACCACATTCCGGCCTTCGAGGGCCACTGAGAGATACAAGTATACAACCAGGGGGCAGCAACGTCGCGGAGGCCTGCAACAGTATGAGGAGCCGCGGTTGTTCACTTTGCCCAATAGAAGGCCCAGCACTGTGAAAGCTGGAGGGAATTGGAACTCGGAAGAAAAGAACTGAGCAACACCAGAAAGATGCCCGGCAAAGACCTCGGCGTTGGTGTGGACGTTTTACCTCCTCTCAACCTCGGGTCGCTGAAGGGTCATAAGAGTCTGCCACGCAGGAAAATCATCTCAGATGACGCAGATTATGGGCGCCCCATACGGCAGGAGCGGAGGATGGGGCATAAAAGCGAGCAAATCAGCTACAGCTCGGCCGAGCGTATCAAATCGTGGATACCGGAGGCTTCGCCAATTCAAGTTATTCCCGTGGTCGGTAAACCACTGACACCGCCGATCAATTTCAGGGACGACTTCCAGAGCTGGATTAACGATGTCGCCCTGAGGGGCAGAGACTTAACCAGGACAAGTGATAGTCCTGGCACCACCCCCTTGGTTCAACAAAGCCCACCGACTCCAGAAAGAACGCCACCCAAGGTTCACCGTACCCGAACTGCAGCTTCGCGCTCATCTACTCGCAATATATCAGACAGTCGGACAGATTCGTTCAAGACCGCACGGGAAAACCAGTCCTCGGACGACGAGGGTCAACCACTGGATCCTCCATTTGGCCACCCTGCACGGGTGGAATGGCTGAGAACAACGGGGCTTTCGAAACACAATGATGTGGGACTTGGCTTGGGATTGGAATCAGAGGACGAGGGACCTACACCAAGTGAGATAACTCCAAAGCACGTGGCTAAGCATCGAGATTTTGGCATTTTTGATGGAACATGGGACGCCAGTGACGAGGATAGACACGAGGGTGGTAGTCAAGAAGATCATAGCTCGGCGACGTCTGTGCCATATGGCAGACGAGCTCACAGACGCTCAAGAATGGCAGAACCACCCACCCTAGACTCCCCTACGCTAGGACAGGAGGCTGAATCATCTTTTAAGAAGTCCCTCAGTCTGCGACAAAGAGTCGAGAAAAGCCGCCATAGTCTACCAGCAGCATCAACCGAGAAGTTTGCGGGGCAGATACCCTGGCCTGTGAAGGAAGACTACTTTGACATCGACACGGAATTACGCGATATGAATAAGAAGCGGCTGTCCCAGACGTCTACAGCCTCCACTGTGGTTGAAGCTATGGTCATTCAGTCTCCGCCTCGACGACGACAAACATTGCGGCATACCGTCAAGATGGAAGACATGAATTCGAGCACTCCACCACCACCTTCTAATCGCAATTCTTTGAACTCCAACGAACGTTCGTCGCTTCGACGACGTCTACGCAGGAGCGGGAGTCCAGATCAAGAATTAAGAAAAAGCTACGCATCTGCAGATACTCCTGAGAGTGTGGACTCCAACCCTTCCAAAGCACGACAGGATCTTGTTCCGGCAATCGGGTTTCCTGATCGTCTATCCTCCCTTCAATCTTCTGCCTCTGGTAGCAAACATCTTTCGAGAACTTTTTCAATCAACTCGCGTCAGCAATCATCAAGACCGACAACCGCACCCGAAGAATCCGTCGGCTACTTTGACGTCCCACCACGCCGTGATCGTCGAACCATGTCTGTTGTGATACACCCTCCAAAATCGTCGAAATCTGAAGGCAAGCCTGAAAAGGGAGCGGAGCCACCCCTCCTCACGCAGACCTCGTCACCTTCGGTGCCGACTAGTAGTGGAGTCTCGAGAACAACATCTGTGACTTCTGCAGGGATGGGTACCCATTACGATCCGCCCACGCCGGCAGACCAACCTCACGCAACACTCTACCTTAGTGATCCTCCAGACGAGCATAACCTCAGCGTAGATCGAAATATGGGCGAGTGGTCTGCCATTCGCCCACGCTCAACCCTCGTGACCCCCTTTTCTCTTCGCTCGGCCCACTCGTCCACCCCTGGTACACTTGAGGTCAATGAGGCAACCGCCATAAGCATCTACCCTCACACGAACAAGTCCATACTTGTCATTCAGCAGATGGCAGGAGGAAGCGACTCTAGCCCTAGAGAACAGTCAGCGATAATTGCTGGGAACGCCAACATCGCGCTTCCGGGCTCAATCACCCCTATCATTCACCATCAATCACCACCAAGAGAGATTCTGAACTCACCACTGCAAAATCCACGCGATGCTCCGCAACCTCCGGATCTCAGAGTCATCGCACCCACGCCCGCAAATGGTCGCCCGTCATCTGAAGCAACGCCGCCAATGCCAAGCACTCCAGCCAGAACAAATCGTTTCAGCGCTCCAATCACATCAATTAAGCGTGCCATTTCTGCTCGTCGCCTCTCTGAAAGTTTTGTCTCCCCTTTCGCCCGGACATTTTCGCTTCGTGGCACTGCTAGCACTCCTCGTCGGCGCCGAACCATAGTCAATCACCCAGAAACAGGGTCCAAACTCCACCCCTTTTGGCGACCTCGTGGCTTCTGGGACGATGTTGACGATAGTGATAGCGATGAGGAGTTTGGGAACACTGGATTCCTAACTGGGAGCCGAAGACCGTCCCAGAGCATTAAAGAGACTACCCCTCGGCGAACAGCGTCCTTAACGCGTCGTCTGAGAGGGTCACTGCATTTGCCCCATTCCCCACCAAGATTGCGGCGGTTGTCTGTATCTTCTGAGATAAATCAAGACCTTTACGAGTTCGTCAACGCAAACAACGGGCGTGACCATGAGGAGAGCAAGAGGGATGGCGTACTTATTCAGCCAAAGTTTCACCGCGACACAAAGCGGAAAATTGATACTACACCGAGGAGAGCGATGTCTTTGACGCGCCGACTGACAGGATCGCTTCGATTGCCTCATCCCGCCCGTCGACAGCGGCCGCTGTCAATATCTTATCCACTAGACCACAATAACAACATTTTCGTCCCTGCGATTGATCCGGAAGACGAAAATCGGAAGGAAGACGTCATGCCCCGTCGGACGAGGTCATTGACCCGCCGATTGACGGGGCCACTACGCTTGCCTCATAGCGAGCGGCGAGGAAGACCATTGTCAATCAGTGCCCCACTGCATCCGGACGAAGATGAGTCTATCAAGCCAAAAGTCAGTGGTGCAGAAGAGTGGAAAGCAGATGCCACACCTCGACGAACCGTGTCGTTGACTCGTCGACTGACAGGGTCACTACGCTTGCCTCATCGTGAGCGGCGAGAAAGACCGTTATCTATCAGTGCCCCACTGCATCCGGATGAAGATGAGTCCATCAAGCCGAAAACCAATGGTGCAGACGAGTGGAAATCAGACGGGGCACCTCGGCGGACCATGTCGTTGACTCGCCGACTGAGTCGATCGCTACATCATCCTGCGCGTCCACCGCGGCCCTTGTCAGTGTCGGCGGCACGAGATCAAGACGACTACGAATTTATCCAGCCGAATGAGCACCACGGGGAGGAGCAAAAAGCGGAGCGGATGCCGCGCCTAGGCTATCCGGTCCAATTTGTCGGGTTCCAAGCATTTGCGGAGAAGATTGAGCGGAGGCGCGAAGCTCGGGAAGAAGGAAAGAGGGAGGAGCGAAGGAGGTGGTTGACAGATAGGATCAGGCATGTGGGCACTGACGACGACGCAGCTCGGACACAGCACTTTACGAGAGAGATGGGCGGATTGTGAGGTAAGCTGATGTTCGACTAAGGGGACGGGAAGAGGGAAGCTATTGAGCGAGCGGGCGAGCATCTTCTTGGAAATCCCCAGCATTGGTCCCGGGCGCTCTGGATATATGATGATCAGACGGCTGCGACGATTCTCCTACGCTCCACCTGGCAGACGTGCAACGATGTGATCGGGGAGAGGTTACATGCTTCCTTTATAGACATGTCTCATCGTTTACTTTTTAGTATACTGGCTATATTATACAACTCTAGCAGCGCTGAAGCAAGCTCATTCCTGCGTACCAAAACTTGCCGCGGTGGCTCTCTTTCCAGCTTGTCCAGACATGTTGTCGGCCCACGGCATTGCAGGCACGAAGCGTGTCAAGCGTCGTATGGATGTCGTGGACAATGTAGAGGCCGCGCAGCAGGCAGGGTGGCTGAGTTGTAGAAAAATCATGGTGGTGATGGTTAAAGGGTTCAGGACAAGGATTCATGATGGCGGGAAGAACGTAAGTGCGATTGGCCCATTGACGAATGTGGACAGTATGGCGTCATCTTGCAGCAGGATAAGCCATCAGGGACGGGACAGGCCCCTGGCTACACAACATGACCAAGAATTCACCGTAAGAATTGGACATGTAAGAATGATTATTACCAAGTACAAAGTACACACTGGTCCTGCCCACCTATCGCTGCACTTCGGGTATTTTAATTATCATTATTCAATTTATCTGCCTGTCACAATTCCACAAGGAAAATACTGGAGTACTTCAACTTCCTTTGCACACGTGTGAGAGCCGATGACATAAGCGGCAACTGTTACCGAGCTCTTGGATTCTGTTTCTGCCCACTTCACATGTTGAGCAGATCCATCGTCATACTTCTTCGTGCATCATCGCGATCGGCCTGCGTAAGCAAATAATACCTCCGCCACTCTACAGTACCAGACCATCACCATCAACATCACCCTCACCATCACCCTCACCCGCACGCAAGTAAAGGCCAAGGCACTTCCTCGTCTGCACTTGTCAATCCCTCACCTTCTGCCTCCAAAACCACCCCTTCAAGGCCTGTCCTGGTCAAAGCGGGCCCCTCAGCAGCCGCATTACCAACCCTTCTCAACACCCCAGAATCAATCATTCAACATGTCAACCATACAGAACCTCAAAAACTTCATCAGGCATGGCAAGCAAGCCAAACAAGCTCACGGTGACCCGACCACCAACGTTTCCCCCGTCCATGCCCAACAGCAACGATATGTCCCGCCACCGCCAAACGCCCAATATGCCATGAGCGATCCAAACGTCCTCGACCACAAACCATTACAACACGGAAACGTTCCCGGCGCAGACTACTCTGCAGCAAACATCGACAATCGAAATGTTGCCGCCCAGGCAGGTGGTGCTGCCGCCAGAGCAGCGGGTGACAAGCAAAGAATCGGCGACGCTGAAACCGTGTCACGATCAGGAAAAGAGACTGACCCGTCAGTCATCGAGAGAATCGTTGCGGAAGAGAGGGAAAGCCAAGGGAAGCTGCCAAAATATCCCGGCTTGGAACGGTGGACCCTGTTGGAGAAAATGGGCGACGGTGCCTTCAGCAACGTATACCGTGCCCGGGAAGCTAACGGCCATGGACCCGAGGTTGCCATCAAAGTCGTCCGCAAGTTCGAGATGAACTCCACACAGGTAAGTTTGGCATCGGCACCGACGTCTCTCCTTTCTCATGTGTTGCATTGCAATCCACGCATTGCCACCCTCCCTCAACATATCGTCCACTGCGACGCCTTGCCAACATCAGATGGTGCAATAGGGCGACAACCATCTACATCCGGACTTCAAAAAGCAACCCAAGGTTGTGGAGGTGCGCATCGCATTCCTTATACATCTGCTGCTATGCGCCTTTGCCTTGTTCACATTGACCTCTCCACGAAAAACTCCTACTGATTCTCTTTCCCTTTACGCAGAGAGCAAATATTCTCAAAGAAGTTCAAATCATGCGGCAACTAGACCATCCCAACATTGTCAGACTCATCGACTTCTCGGAATCTCGGCAGTACTATTACATCGTTCTCGAGCTCTGCCCTGGAGGCGAGCTGTTCCATCAGATTGTCAGATTGACATACTTCAGTGAAGACCTCAGTCGTCACGTCATTGTGCAGGTCGCGGAGGCTCTGGAATATCTACACGAGACTGCTGGTGTTGTACACCGGTATGTGGACATCACGCTACCTGTGATGCAGATGCTGATTCTTGAACAGAGACATTAAACCTGAAAACCTCCTCTTCTACCCCACTACTTTTATTCCTACGAGACACCCCAAACCTCGATCGGCTGAAGACGAAGACAAGGAAGATGAGGGAGAATTCATCAAGGGTGTTGGAGCGGGAGGTATCGGGACGATCAAGATCGCGGACTTCGGGTTGTCGAAGGTCATCTGGGACAGCCAGACCATGACGCCATGTGGTACCGTTGGATACACAGCACCGGAAATTGTGAAGGATGAACGCTATTCGAAGAGCGTTGATATGTGGGCATTGGGATGCGTTCTATATACGCTGCTTTGCGGGTTTCCCCCTTTCTACGACGAGAGCATTCAGGTCCTTACCGAGAAAGTGGCACGAGGCCAATATACCTTCCTTTCGCCGTGGTGGGATGACATATCCAAGCCTGCGCAAGATCTCGTCTCACATCTCCTCACTGTTGATCCTGAACGACGGTACACCATTCAGCAATTCCTCAACCACCCATGGATCCGGAACACCAGAGAAGAAACCTACGCTGCGGCCGATGCTCCACCCCTGGCCACCCCTCTCTACACTCGTCAGAAGGAATACGGCTTCGGGAACCAAAAGCACGGTGGCACAACACCGCCGGATACTCTCGCAAGCCAATACCTCGAAACACCAGGTGGTCATCAACGCCGCGTAGACTTCCGCTCCCCTGGCGCTGTCAATCTGCGTGAAGTCTTCGATGTCAGCTACGCCGTTCACCGTCAAGAAGAAGAAGGGAAGCGTCGCAAGAATTTCCCGCAAGGCTACCGTGGTGCAGCTGGAATGAACGGCCTCAACCCGCTCAACGAAGATGATGATGACGACTACGACGACCTTGATGATGACTTGGCACCGGCTCAAAACCCGCCCTCCAAGCTGCCTAAACCGCAGGGTGGCGCGGCGGACGTCAGCAGCGTGGAACAGAAAATGAGAAGCACAAACCTCGGCAATCCTAGTGCTGCTGCACAAGCACGACAGGCAGCTGCGCCAAAGCAAGCCGGCTATGGTCAGCACAGCCCTGCAGTTGCGGCGGCAGCGAAGCAGCAAGTGAGGAAGAACAGGGGCGCCTTCGAGCTCAGTCTGGACAATGCAACACTCCTGGGACGGAGAGGGAAGGGGCAGGACCCGAGTAAACTTAGGGAGCAGATCGTGCAGTAGAGTCGGCGGAAGCCTTGTGAAGAATTGAGACGGGTCAAAACAGCAGAAAAGAGATTTGAAAGTGCATAGGAAAAGGTGGAACGCTTGCACGTAATACAGGCATGTGGCTCATGAGCTGACGGCATGAACACTTTCTCTTCTCCCCGGGATTCGAGATATCATTTAGGCAGATAGCCTATCAAATAAAACATGTGCACACGATGGTTTTCTGGTGATAAGAATGCAAGCGGGACTCGGGATAAGCATCGCACCTCCCTTAGACAACATACATATTAATCAACCGCTCTTTCGACATCTAACGAGCCACACTGAATTACCAGCATCTTTAAACAACAACTAGGCCTGTTTACCCACCAAAGTCCAAAGCAGCATGGGCATGCCAGTAGCGTGCGTACCCCTGTCCCAACCGCTCAAAAGCAGAGTCTTGTTGGATGCAGCTCCCGAGTATGAAATAATCGACAAAGGTAGGAAAAACTCCCATACATCAAACCCAGCCCTCTTCTGTCCCAAACCCCCCACCCCCCCCCCACTCCCTCGTTCTTTTGATTTGAATTTTGGGGCTGGGGATGGGGGGTCTCGTGGTGAGAAAGCTGATTCTCACAGCCCTGTCCGCGGCGCTTGGCGGTGCAGGCTGGGAAGGGAGGGGGGGAAGGTCTATCCTCGGGGCCAGAGGGAAGTCGGAAGCTCGACTGAACAACGGTGAATTGATGGAAGATGGACTTTGTGCGGGGCCGGTGGGAGGGAGGGAGGGAGGGGGGGGGGGGGAGGGGGGGAGGGAGGAGGGAGGGAGGGGGGGGAAAGATGGGGGAGGGGAGGGAGGGGGAGGGGGGGGGGGGGGGAGGGGGGGGGAGGGAGGGGGAGGAGGGGGGGTTTGGTGGTTGGGGCGGTGGAGGGAGGGGGGGGGGGGGAGGGGAGGGGAGGGGGGGGAAGGGGAGGGAAGGGGGGGGGGGAAGGAAGGAGGAAAGGAAAGGAAAGGAAAGGAAAGGAAAGGAAAGGAAAGGAAAGGAAAGGAAAGGAAAGGAAAGGAAAGGAAAGGAAAGGAAAGGAAAGGAAAGGAAAGGAAAGGAAAGGAAAGGAAAGGAAAGCGTATGGTCTTGATTGACTCGGGATTAGCACTCGCATGTAGGGTTGGTTTACTTACTTATTCAGCGGTCGGTCCGCGACGTTCGCGAGGTATGTGCGTGTGAAGGGCGAGGGCGGCCGGTCCTTTATTCTTGCTCAGAGGTTCAAGACAGGGCGTTGCTGCCATCGACAGCCGCGCTCGACTTGTCTGACGTATGGCTTCGCCTCGAACGGTTTCCTGAGTGAAGGCCGAAGCCGTTCACTGAGCCGTTTTCCGGTATTCGGGGGGAAGCGCTTGAGCGAATATCTGCGATACCTTGACTAACCATCAATCACTCACGGTGTCGAATAGCCATCGGTCCTGCCGGTCGATCCCCTGGGTGTCGGAATTTCGAGGGGCTAACTTGTATATGCACGGCTTCGTGCGGATGTCTGGGTCTGCTCTATGATAGATGGAAGGCAGAACGCGGCGAGTGCGATCATATCGTAACTGACGCGATCGTTCCGACCTGTCAGCCACAGGACATTACCGAGCCAGCCAAACGCGCAGAGAGAGAGAGAGAGTCTTGAACCTCAGCAGAGCTGCGACGAATCGTCGTGCGATTCTGGAAACCGCATCTTTGTTCCGCGATCTTTGGTGCGAGGTCACGAATGATGATTACCTTACTCTGTATGGATTCCGGCGTTGCAGCAATACTCACCTGTTGGATTTGCGAATTTCTGATAATGAGATTGATACCCTCGATCATCAAGATTATTCCAAGCCGGGTGGAAGCTAGGACGTATACCCACGTCTGTCGACAAATTCGGGCTTCATCATGGACGAATAGACACCGACGCCTTGGGGGTGGAGGGGTGGACGATTCGAGGATCAGTGTTGAAAATGCGTGGATTGGGCAGGCAGTACGGTATGTTAACAAGCACGATTCATATTAAGCTGATCACCTGAAGATGCAGACGATCGAGGGGATGCGTTAACCGCCTTCAACAGAATTTTGCTGATGGAGACATATGCCCGAGCCGACGATACCCTCCCTACCAGACTTAAGTTTCGGAAGGCAGCCTTATAGCAAGGAGCCCTAGGATTGTTTTCAGAGGGCGCATAGATTGAAATGTAGGGTGTTCTTTTCGGCTGGAGAGGGGCAATGAGCCCCCGAGTTAAGCTTAGGTCGGGCGCAATTCCGAAGCAGCAGCTCTAACCGCATCTTCCAGACCCACCCCTTAAGCGAGGCTTACACATCCAAGATCTTGACGCAGGAGTCCTGGCGCTCAGGACTATCGGTTACTCTCCGCAGTCACGTTGGGACAGTGTGGGTCGCCTCATCCCGCACCACCTTCCGCCAGCTTTGATGGCGATACGGCGTCGCGTTGCAGGCTTAGCGACCGAAGTCGAGGTCCCAGATGCAGGGCGGGAGATCAGAGGGAGAGGGAGGACACGTAACTTGAGTATGGTGGACGATTCATACTCAATTTTGCCGGTCGCAGTAATTGTTTCAATGGACCTATCTGGGTTCTCTCGACAGAGTTCTATATTCACTCCGCCGACAGAGTTGTTGATCGATAGCACAATCAGGCATCGCTGAGCTTCAGCCCGCGTATGCACGTCGTGATTGGTAGATCAGCTCGTTAACGTGGGGCTTTTATAACTTCCAACGACTCGATATGCAGCCTTGAGTATAACGGTGTCGCCTTGTGCGCTGCCTTGCCGACTCTTTTCCTTTCCTCAAAGCCGGCGCAGTTAAATCCTTTGTGCTCTCGCAGTCTTACACTCAGATTTTCCTACCATCTATGTCTAGTTGAATGTCGGCCAATTCGTTCCTCGTTGTGATCCTATCGCCTGAGTATTTTGGTATAACCATCTGCGCCTAGAAGAAGAGAACTACAAGTATGCATATCGATTTATTGAGAGACCTTGAGCCAACGAAAAAATTTAACCACAGAAGGCCATCCGCTCTCCATCTCCGCCAGCGTTGCTGGTCTCATCACAATCGCTGATACAGCCTTTCGTCGAACATTCAAGTATATCAAGGCTGTCAAGGATGCCCCAAAGAAAAATCCGGTTTGTCCTCGGAAATCGGTCTTCTTTATGGCATGCTCAACAGCCTTCATCTAGTGGTGTGCCAGCTTGAAGGGGAAACCTTCGACTCAAGAGTCCAAATACATCATATCCATTCATGTTATCTTACTTTTGAGAAGGTCAAAACAATGCTCAACAAACAGCTGCGTTACTGCGTCATTGGGCGAAAGTTGACAGCGCCGATAAGGGAGTCGTTGAAGAGATACAAGCACTGGCCTCAGATGCCGATCATACCGCAACACCAAAGGGGCTTGCACGACCGGATCTCGCGTCAGTGCCCAGTCGGACTATAGCTACCGATTCATGCAGCTCTCTCCGGATCGCTGCCGAATTTGGACATCTTAGCATCGTCCGAAACATACTACAGGACGACATACACGATACCGACGCGGTAGACAAGAGTACAGGCCGGATTTCTCTCCGATACGCTGCAAAGGCAGGTCATGTCGAGATTGTACAGCAATTGCTAGAGCGCGGCGCCGATTGCAGTGCTAGAGATAAGAAAGGAAAGACAGCACTACACTACTCTGTGAGACGAGAAAGATCTCAGTGCCTCACGTTGCTCTTACAGCAAGGTATTGACATTGGTGCAAGGGATTTCGAGGGCTCCACTGTGTGGCATTCTGCTGCAAGGAGAAACAATGCGAAAGCCTTGAGCCAGCTTCGGAATTGGCTTCTCGACAAGAACAATTCGAGCAAGCCTTTACTCAGTAGGGAAATAGCTCCACTCAATGAGGAACATGATATGAGGAACAGGTACTGGGCTGACACCTTTGCACGTTGCTGTGGGCGCTTGTGCGCTAGAAGCAGTCCGATGCCTTGCCGATGACGGATTTGATGTCAGTGCGGTTATGGCTGATGGTTCAACGGTGCTCCATTGCCTTGTCAGTACTAAATCCAGGATACTGAGCTGTGAGGTCGTCGAATCCCTTCTGGCGAAAGGTGCAGACCCTTGTAAACCGCGTGCGAATGGCAGGACAACTCTCCATGTTCTGACAGAGTGGGACCATCACTCCAAGGAAATAAGACTCCAGGTACTCCAACGACTTGCGGTGGCTTCTCGTGGAGCGATACACGGAGGGTTCGAGATTGCTCACAGGTACCAGCAATGTACGAGGTGCTCGGCCGACTGGCACGATATAGGGTGGAAAGCAACATCTTTTCGGGTGGATGTCCCATTGCTCGGCAAATGCTACATGTGTCATACCTCATAGCTCAACCCCTTTAATTTCTTGATCTCAGCCTTTCTCACTTCTCCAGCTCACTCATCGACCCTCCAGAAACAACGCCAACACTCCACCATCTTGCAGCAGGAACACTGAAACGTCGAGTGTTCTTGAAACAGGCTCTGAAGAACAAAACACTTGTCACAGGGTTGTTCGCCCCTGACAATCTCCCAGAAATTCTCATGCCGGCAGTATCTCCTTGACGCCGGTTCGACCCAGTCGTTGTGCATCTTTTTGGACTTCAGTGCATGCCCGACGATCTCTCGTTCTGCTTGCGCCACCGCTTCAAATCTCACGTTGAGGGTCCGCCCCGCTGGAGCTTCTCTCATCGTTCTTCCCCTGTCGGCCCGTCTCCTCTCATTCGCTTCCCAATCTTCTCGTGCTTCTGGGACTTCCTCCTGCTGTTGTGCCTTCACCTTTTCTTCCGCCTTCTTCTTCTCGTCCTCCGCCTTTCTGTCCTTGTCTTCCTCCTCTTTCTCCTTTCCCTTTCTCTTCTTATCTTCCTCCTCCACGTTCCTCCACTCGTCCTCCTCTTTTTTCTTGCTATATTCTACTGGGTCCTCCTCAGCGGCAATCTGATCAATGACGCGTTACAGTACATCGCGCTGTCTCTGTAACTTGCCCTTCGTCGTCATTAACAAAATCTCTTTGGAGCGACGACTTGTACGCCTCTGTATTCTCCTTCCCTGCTTCTGCTCCTCGGTTTCTTTCGCTTTGGGATAGAAATATGAGCTAAGGATGACGCGTTAGCTAGTTTGCATCGTGCTCAATTCTGGAATCCTCATTATCCTGGTCCTCGAGTTGATTCAAGTCTTTTTCAAGCAGTGTTGTGTGCTGATGTAAGTCGGAGATATCTTTGTCGTATCTCGCCTTGCTCACTCGCCAAGATTGAAGGACTTTCTGTCGTCCTGCATTTTCCAGATCTTTCGCCCTCGCTTCAGCTCCCCTGCTCCTTCTTGCTTCATCTTCCTCTTTGTTTTTCGCCCTTGCTTCAGCCTCCCTCCGCGTTTCTGCCTCGGCAGCTTCAGCTTGGCGCAAATCCGATTGGTGCTGTGTTCGTAGACGATCTCTGATGCCTGGCCATACCGAATCGTACGCACGTCGTTCTACAGGGTCTTTGAGGATCTCATAAGCTTTCCCGAGCTTTTCGAAGAAGAGTCAGTCACTGCTCTTATTGTGGCAAGTAATTTGGAAAGTTGGTGGGACTTACCTGTTGAAACGCATCTGTCGAGCCGCGCTTTTTGTCAGGATGCCGGATCTTTACTAGTCTTCTATAAATAGCGATCACTTCTCCAGCAGCGGCAGTATTCGATATGTTGAGAATGTCGTAATAATCATCAACGTGCGCAGGAGGGGCCATCACTTTTTCACTTGGAATGCTATATACATGCAGGAACCCGATGATTGGTACACTGCAGATGCAAATTGCTTGGCACTGGGAGTCTTTGCACATCACACCCACATTTGTACTGCAGCATGAGCATTTTTCAAGGATATGTGCTCTTTAGATTGTATAATTCCTGCGTTGGACGACATCACCCACACGCTTAGGGCGGCGATCAAAGGACTCCAGGCCACAGTAGTTAGACACGAATCATCTTCATCATCTAATAATTCTGGAAACGTCTTTGCTTCAATTCTGCTTGGCGCCCCAATAATGAGCTTCTAAGCAAGCAAGAGGTGGGATACTGCAGGTTCTCCATGCCATTTGGACTTCCTCCGCAGAATTTTATCATAGGCATGGAGTTCATTTGCTTCTTGTTCCTATCGAGCACGTTGGACGAATTGATTTGTAAGGAAATCACCTGCCCAAGCCTCACATTCAGCAATACATCACATGGAGAGGAAGCAAAGCGAAAGGTTCACTCGAGACGAAATGATACACTGGAGACCAGACTGGGTATGTCTCAGGTAGGGCAAAGCTTACGTAGCAACAGCAATTGACCGGCTTTAGAATTCTTCCGTCCAAGCGGGTATGTCCTAACGTTGAGAAGAAGCTGCTGAAGGTTTTGGAGGGCAAGGTCGACGCCCTTGATCTTCTTTTCGCTGGCGAGCTGGCGACAGAATACTACAAAGAGACCGAAGATTCTTACGAATGTCTGAAGATGGTTGAGCCGTATCTCGATGCTCTTGCTCATAAGCATCCTTCACTGACGTCTCCACCGGATTCCTTTGAGAAAGTCAAGGAAAAGTTCAGGAACCATGTTGATCGTATGGTGTTCGCAACATTGAACATGGAGCAAGATCCCTTTCAACAAGGATTTCAGACGGGCGAAGACAATCTGATAACACGCGACTCGCAACAGTGGGACTGTGGGTTAGTGGGTCCATTATGAGGCCATAGCGTTGGTGGCTGTTTGATCAGCCGTTGGCCCTGTTGGTACCCTTGTTGGTACCCCTGTTGGTACCCCGGTAAGGGGTTGGGGACAGGTGTCTAGTACGAGCTATATAGCCACCTATTTTATACCTGTTAATAGCTCTTTATTCGATTTCGTCTCTGTCAGAGCTATATTATTTTTCTTCTTCTTTTCGTAGTTGAGTCTATATACATTAGCCTTCATTCAACTATCACAAGCACTATCCAACTACCACAAACACACTCCATACTCTTACATACTTCGTAATAGCCCCCGCCGCCGCTACCAGGTCCAAAAAAGCGGCCAAACGTATCACCCCGCCTCCAAGGTCACCAAAAAGACCTCCAACGCAGCCAACAAGGCCAACAAGGCCAACAAGGCCCCCAAGGCCAAAAAAGGCTCCCAAGGCCACCAAGGCCAAAACACCTCCCCCCACGACGACATCCTCGTACACGACACATCATCGAGTACCATAAGCCCGGATCAGGTGGATAAAACGCCCCCACCTGCTATTAAAGTAGATCTTAAAGAATTAATAGCCCAGCTATTCAAGATCTAAGACGAGCGAAATTATCGCTATCCTCACGAGGGTAGGGTTTATAAGTTATACCGCCACCACCGCCGCTACAGCCGCAGTCATCGTTATCGTTACTCGGATATATCGAATTCGAATTTATTCGACTCTAAATCGAATTAAGAAGAAAGAAGAGGAGTTTTCTTTCGTTATATGAAAGGTAAAAAGCTCTTTCTTAATATTGTTAAAAGGTTTCGAAGTGTAGACATTAAGTACTTTAAGTAAATCTTCTTCGAAACCTTTAAGATTAAAAACTTCGTTAAACTAGCCTATATATATACTATCCCGGCCAAGGAGGATAAGAACGTTAATAGCTATAATCATATAATGTACTACTTCTATATATACTGATAGCTACTAGTCGCTTTATATACGTCAGCGTAAAGGAAGACTTAAATAAGGCTCTATATATGTATGCTATTTGCTTACTATAATTATCTATTATCTATAGATTTAACTTTATTCTCGCTTATTACCTCGCCTTTATTACTATATATATTTAGGGTGGCTAAGATAATCTTAAGGCCTGGGAAGTAGATAATTAGAGTTATAAGAACCTTCTCGTGTTTAAAAGAGACTTATGCGAATAATAGTAAGCTAAATTTCGGTGCGCCTAGCCTCAGTAAGGTTACCGCCGAAGAAACTAAAATTTATAAGAATTTCAATAGAGGTAGCTATTTTCGCGAGCGCTGTATCTACTTATATATCTATATAATCTATTAATAAAATTATTCGATAGATAAGTACTTTAAGGCTTTAAATCTAGCTATAAGTAGTTTTAATTATTTATTACTAAGTAATTATATTATTAAGATAGAATAACTTCTAGAGTACCCGCAGATGCCCTAGTCGCTGTAGTACATATCTGAGGATTTCCTGTACGCGCTATACGACCTACTAGACTCGGATTTATTCTATTAGAGACTGTTAATAATTGATAGTTAGTTCAAATAGTTAAACAATTACTCGAACCTAATATTTGTTAAGACTATTTTGACTATTCTTCGAAAGGGCGCTAAGATAGATTTTTAAGGCTATATCCTAGCTTATCGTAATTAAAATTATCTATTAGTACGTTAAGTACCTTAAATACTATTAATAAATCTTTAAAAATAGCTTTAATAGTATCGCCTAATCGAGGTTAATCTTTAAAACGAGCCTTACTACGTTTATTCGCTACTCGATTTAATATCAAAATATAATAAAGATTAAAGACGAATTTATAACCTCTTATTTCCACACGGCCACTTAGTTAATAACAGTATTTAGGCGGAGTAAGATGTATTAAAATATGCTATATACGATAACGCAGTAGTAATACTACTATAGAAAGGCTTAAGGGTCTAATTCGTTAAAAGAGATCTTAAAGACGCTTTCAGATATATATTCGTCGCTATATCGAATTAATAACTACTTAGTTTCAATTGTGATAGACGCTATTGAAAAGAACGATATCTATCATTCAGATTACGCATATCATTGTTTCTATTCAATCTCTTCATAAAGACTCTTACTTAGATCTTAATCGCGATCCTTCTATAGAAAGTAATACTTTACTATTTAAACGATTTCTTCGTAATTCTTTTATTAGATAATAACGTAACTATATATATTTAATAGTTCAACTAATTATATAGCGAATTAGGCCTTTAGATTAATTATATAAAAAAATATTATAGATTTTATAGTCGAGTTTCTAGGAATTAAATTCGATAGCATTTATATATAAGCGAGACTCTCCCCAAACAAGCTGGTTAAGGCGAGAATTATAATTAAAAATCTTCTAAAAAAGGGTAACTATCTTATATTAGAAGCTCGAGTCAGTAATTAACTTCCTCTCTTTCGCTATTAAAGTCGTAATTCTAGAAAGAGTATTTTTAAGGCGACTTTTCGATGCCCTTCGAAGGCCTATAATAATTATACGAATTATAAGCGATATAAGGGCAGACTTATTATAGTAGAATATCTTTCTAAAGTATTAGAATAGCGTTATCTTTAATATATTACGTCGATAGTCGAGTTATATAATATATATAAATCGATATATCTAGAAAATTTAGTATAGAAGATTATATTCTCGATTATTTCGATTATATTTAATCGATTTAATTTAAAGACATTTTTAGTATTAAAACAGCTATATGTTATTATTCTAAAGATATATAATTTAAGAAAATAAAGATCGTTTATTACGCGATAAAGCTATAATTATATTAGTTATAAGAATCTCGCTTAATTCTCTACTACGATAACGACGTATACGTTAATAGATTACGTAAATCCTCTATATACGAGCTAGCTATGGCCCTATTATACGATATAGCTATACTAATAGCTATTTACGACATTATAGTAATATCTATTTAAATATCTACGAAGGCTAACTAGCTAGTCGATAATCTATTATATTTTCGATATCGAAAAATCGCTAACATATATTTATAGCTGAAAGATCTTATATCTTCGCTGAAATAGAGTGGGATTTATTAGAATATTAGTATAATTAGATCGTATTATCTAGAGAGATTATACGACTTCTCTAATAGGGGCTTGCTACTAAAATTAGAAAGATATATATAATTTTAATAAGATTTTATACGATTTATTACGCACTTATAGAGATCTAATCTTCTTTTTTAACAACTATAAATATTTTTATAGACTGAATTATTAATCTAAGTACTTACCGCGTTAAGTCGAAGTCTATAAAGATATATCTTACCGGCCTTAAGTCAGCCCTGTCAGGACCAGCATAGGTGCGATACCAGTATGGGTGAGGTAGAATAGGATAATAAGGCTACCGAACTATGTAGGTAGGAAGGAGGCATGATATAGTAGGAGATGCCTCCTGCCAAGGCCCGCTAGCCATAGGGCTGAGGGCTGAGTGGTGTGTCAAGGGTACGCTCGTAACACTACCCCCCCTCTCAAATAGCCATGGCCCCCATGGCTGGTAGACCGGAGATGCACGCCCATTGCTTGCCCTGTGTCTCCAAACATCCATAGTCCGTGTAGGCCTCGACCGGAGACGATTTGCCGAGGTGTAGTGGTAGCAGTCGAAAACATCGGATCGCATGCTGGTCTTGACTGTGCCATCCATGCCTGCTATACCCACATTGTCCTGCGGAGATCCTGGAGATATTGACCATATCTTGCCTGCGTGCCAGCAAGATTCTCCGAGTTCTTCTCCTTGCCCAGTCTGCTTGTCATAGTCCTCCACTTTTTTTTTTCGCCTTCAACACCTACTGGCAGCCTGGCCTGGGAGCTTCACTGTAGATTTGCCCTATATCTCCCATGCTCTTGCCATCAAGTCCATCAATAGAATTGAAGAAAATCCAACGCATGCATGTGTTATGAATCCAACTCCAACACCTGTTGGCAGCCTGGCCTGGGAGCTTCACTGTAGATTTGCCCTGTGTCTCCCATGCTCTTGCCATCAAGTCCACCCCCATTCCATCCTTTGTCTTTGTCGATTCGTAGGTTTGGTAGGTAGGTAGGGAAAGAATTGAATGTGTTGAATGCCATTTGGTAGCAGGCTTCACTATGTGTGTTGTCGACATGCTCAGTGAAGAGGTCGAATCGTAGTCGTTTCGGGGCTGTTCCCGTCGCCATTGTAGCAGGCTCACTATGAGTGTGTTGTCGACATGCTCAGTGAAGAGGTCGTACGTTTGCTGCCATTGTAGCAGGCTCACTGTGTGTGGGGTTTGTGACGATTTCTTTCTACTATCAATTCGCTAGTCGTACGAATAGTCCCTGTGCCTTATTTATCCCTCGCCCACAGTTTTGGCGAGTCCGATTCGCTATGAAACCGAGTTACCCGTCTGGTGGGCTTACCCAGGGATACGATGGCTCAACTTGGTTTCTTGCCAAAGCCCCTGCCAGCGCATTTCTTTGAATTCGTCCGCTAATTCGAATGGAGTGTGTCCGATTGCATTTCTCTTCGCCGGGTATACGAAGGAGCCTTATTATAATGTCAGGACCAGCATAGGTGCGATACCAGTATGGGTGAGGTAGAACTAGGATAATAAGGCTACCGAACTATGTATGTAGGAAGGAGGCATGATATAGTAGGAGATGCCTCCGCCAAGGCCCGCTAACCATAGGGCTGAGGGCTGAGTGGTGTGTCAAGGGTACGCTCGTAACAAGCCCATATAGATATAAAGTTCGATGATCTCTTAGTATTTTATTATTTTTAGTTATAACGCATTATTATAGATAGTTAACGTCTTTATAGCGAAGCTAATATAAAAAGAAAGGCGTCTAATTATTAAGAATCTATTGCTTTAAATTCTTTCTTATTTCGATAAGTTAACTTATACTGGAACGACTCTATATATCTTCTTTTATCTCGCTTTCGCGATATTTCTATATATAAATAAGTTTATTTATAATAAGCGAGATCTTTAATAGAAGAACTTCGGCGAATAGTTTCTTATATATCGCTTAGTGAGGCTATTCGATAATTATCTAGAACTTATATTTTTAGTATTTAAAACGAATTTATTTTATCGTAGAATTATACTTACGATAGCCACATTAAACGATAACGTATACGCAGTTAAAGCCTTACGTTATCTCTTTAGATAAGAAGCCCCATCTAATACACCGCTGTTTCAGCTAGAGGGCTCCTTCTTTACTAGAGAAGCCGTTATTAGTAACCTCCGCGAGGTGTTAACGTCACTTAATATTAAGGGTTATTATTTAGGCTATTCCTTTCGCAGAGAGATTATAATATTAGTATATAACGCCGGCCTTAGCAATAACGAGATCTAATTGCTAGACCGTTAAAAAGTCAGATTTCTACCGCCTATATATCATCATTTATCCAGCTTATATACTCAGAGCATTACTATAGCATCAGTATCTTTTAGCCTGTCCGCGCTAGTGCTGTTAATTCCTACTACTTACTACGATAGATACTATCAGAAGTTCTCCTCGAGACCTTCACCCTCTTTAGACGACGTTTTAGGTTATTTAGAAGTTTTCTAGCGCTGGGGGCCTTTTTTAGACTATTTGCATATCCAAAAAGGTCTTAGCTGCCCCAATATTAAATATGCCTAATTATCTATCTACATATCTACTTATACATACATGATTTCTATATAACCTCACTGTTTGCGAGCACTAATCGCAACAGTGGGACTATAGATTAGTGGGTCCATTATAAGGCCATAGCGTTAATGGCTGTTTGATCAGCCGTTGGCCCTGTTAATACCCTTGTTGGTACCCCTGTTGGTACCCCGGCAAGGGGTTAGGGACAGATGTCCAGTACGAGCATAGAGCCACCTGTTTTGCACCTGTCAATGGCTCTTCATTCGATTTCGTCTCTGTCAGAGCCATATCATTTTTCTCCCACCCACCCACACCTGTATATAGCCTCATTTCACTCCAAGGCATGTCGCTCAGACATGGGAGTTTTCTAGCGCTGGGGGCCTTTTTTTGGACTATTTGCATGTCCAAAAAGGCTTACCTTTTTTTTTTTTTTTCCTTTTCTTTTTTTTTTTTTTTTTTTTTTTTTTTTTTTTTTTTTTTTTTCCTTTTTTTTTTTTGACCCAAATTTTATTTTAAAATTTTCCCACAAAAGACCCGCAAACTCGAGACTAGCCCTAGATTAGACTGACTTTGAAAGCGGTGGTAATTCCGCTATCTTTCAAGGCTGCAGGAATACCAGTAAGACATTCCTGGAGCTGAATAAGCATTGATATCGTTCTAGGAAGCTGGACCTTCATAGCCTATATAATTCCGCTTCATATCTAGTGATCAGGTATAGGTCGTCCCTAGCTCTCAATCAGATTACAGCTTCAAAGTCGACAGAAGCTACGTGATTGCAGGTGGTCTAGGAGGTTTGGGCCAACGAATCCCTCGGTAGATGGTTGCTCGCGGGGCAAAATATCTTCTGCTATCATCTCGTTCCGGTGCAACTGGTGGTGATGTCGCCGAGTTTCTGGACGAGATTCGAGCGATGGGTGTGGAGGTGATAAACACCTCCCTGCGACATAATGGTCAGCAACCATGAACGAAGCCTAGTGCAGGAATAGTATCAATACTGGCTGTTTACCTGCATATCGAGTGCTCTCATCAGCACGACGTTACCAACTCCATCAAGGGAGACTGCCGGCGTGGACTTGTCGTCAGTCAGCACTGCTGCATCCAAACCCCTTTTAGGACTGAGTACTGCAAATCGACCACTGGTCACCTCGTCCTCAACTCCTCATAACACTCCACAGACTTGCTCGCCGTTCCCACATGACTCATAATCTGCGGCCACTGTATAACGCACTTGAGGGCACCACCCTGGCATACCTCCACGATATTCTGATCCATCAACCCTCTCCTATCCTCCGCAAAATTGAGCAGCTTCGTCGCGCCGCGGTAGTTGACGGCGTATGAGGAGAGGCACAGCTCGCCGACTGGTTTGTCAGAAATGAGGTAAATGTCTGTGCCAGGGTACCGACCCTCTAGAGGGCGGCCATCTGGAGCTGTGCATACTAAAGCACGGGGCACCTCAGTAGCGTCATTGGTAGAAGATAAGAAGGCTTCGCTGTTTTTGCCGCAGTGGCCCAGCCAGAGGACGTCCCAATCGTTACCGTACGGACTGTCGGGCGGTGGACGTCGTTCCGCAGCGACTGGTTGGGACTATTAGTCAAGTTCTGGGTCGCATCACGGAAGGCCGACAGCTAAAATTGGATCCGAGCATCCCAGACGGCGTCGCTCGACAGGAGTAGCGCCGAAGAGAGCCTCTCATCCACGATACGTCGCCAACGGCTCATCTGTTCGAAAGCGCACGCGAGGCGGCAGCGATTCGAATCCTCGCCTCCTCTAAAGTCGTCAGGTTTCGCACTTTCGAAGATCGTGAGGTCGATGCCGGTTGCGCTGGCATCTTTCTTGAGCCCGGTTTCCTCGTCAAGCTGCCCTGGGGAAATTGTGGCGAGTAGTTATTGGAACTGGTGTCGTGGTGGTTTTGTTAATCGGAGCTTCTTGAGTTCGAGAGAGAGGATTCATACCCCTAGGGTGAAATTGTGTATCGAATGCGCATCCACGGGTACTGCGTGTCCGTTAGGACTGAGTGGGACAGATTGTTCGATACAGTTCCTCGAGTAGAGCAGAAAGACACACACGGCCGCGAAGACAAGATACGAGAGGACTCGGGCGCTGAGGACTGCTGTGAATGCCATGGCGACAAGAATAGAGGCTACTCTTGAGACTGAGCATTAAGACGTGGGAGACGGGGAAGAGGCAGTCAATGAAATACAACATATCTTGAGTCACAAATTGATCTTACATTTTCACTTTTGAAGATTGCTTTCATACTCGTGTTCATCGACACCATTAACGCTTGAGATCAAGTCCTACACACTAAATACTCGTAGCTCGCCTTCGATGATAATGACAACAAAACTGGTTGATGTCTCGAAGAGTTCTACTTCTCCACACTTGCTCTTCGTAACTCACAAGAAATTCTTCATTGATATCGATTGAAGCACCTATATTTCCTGCAGCACAACGTTTAGTATAAAGGAAGTCATTGCTGTTTCGCACATCAACCTCGCTTATTTTACCAGCGGGTAATAGCCGCTAGTGGACACCAGCGTTTTAGCCTCCTAAGTTTGTGGCACGACGGTCATGAAACATTGGTCGCAATCTTTGGTCACATCTCCGCCACCATCGCGTTGAGGCCCACCTTCACAGTGAGATGTGCTATGGGGAAACGCAAAAGCGGTTTGAGGCAGGAGTTTTGGGAAGAAAACAATAAAATTGTCAGGTCCTCTCCGTTGATATCATGCAGGAGATTCTCCCATGTCACCAGTGCATCACCAGTCCCATATCTCTTTCTACAGGGAAGGCTGCCTATCCGAGTGTAGTTCCCAGCGTCGGTCGATATCAAAATCAAGCCAATCAGAATGCCAAAAGTTCTGCCGAGCCACACCAACGGTTCTTTATTGTTTTCTTCCTCTTGGAGTACATTCGTGGTCTTTATGTGTTGAGACTCAAACCTAGAATCCACGAGGTCTGCTTACTGATAACACAGAATGGTCTCACGGCCGCCAGAAGCGCAGTCTCACCTCCCTTGACCTGAGCTGGCGGAGCTTCTGCCCTAATCGGTACAACTGAACGCTTTAAAAGCTCAGCGTCTACCCCTTGGAGCATCATCAGCCTAACTACCCCATCGATAGATCCCCATGACCAACGTAGGGCGCGGTAAACGGTTGGGGGATGGATTTTCTACAAAGGGGGTTTGTGTTAACTTCCGTGCAACATGGTAAATTGAAGCCGTCCGTCACATGCCAGCAACGTAGGATCCTTCCCAGGCGGGTTCAAGCTGGGCAGCTATGACACCGATCGCGACCCGTTTGTCTTCTTCGTGGATGAATTCTCGTCGAGTGTATTCCCCGATGATCTCGATCCAGAGCAGTGCGCGATCGAGTATGACCTGTGTCAATAGCTGGCTTGCTGACGGATGGAGGATCCAATAGATAGGAAGGCAGTCGCGTGCAACTTTGTGTGAGCGCTGGATGAAGCCCAGCAGTGGATTTTGAGATGTCAGTCTGACAATGCCACGACATCTCCTTCCGGCCCAACGATAAGAACCGAGGTGACAGTGTACGCTCGTCCACTGTCCAGGCACTGAAATAGATCGATTCACCCATAGCGTTGTCACGTTGGTAGAATATCAGGCTTACACTACCCATAGAGCCGTCAGGGCAGCAAAGCCGAAGCTGACATGCAGTCGATGGGATCCTGGCTTGCAGAAACCCATCAAAACCATTACGGTGCTGCCTGTTGCAACAGTAATTCTCAAATTCCGGATGTTTGTCCTCATCCTGCTTATCTCGATGGCTTTGTGTCCTGCGCTATCTTGAAAGATGCAGATGGAGTTCACCCAGAAGAATCGGATTCTGAGGTCTAATGCGACAGAGACTGCATCTTGCTTAGACTGAAATGATCGTTGTGAGGGTATGCCCTGCGGGTGGGCGTGAATAGTATGGTCGTTAACATCATGTCTTCCATCTCTCCTCGGTAATAACTGAGCGCGGCATAATATACTCTTCCTTGCTCGCTATCGAGACACATTCTCGGTAAACAGCCAGGATCTTCTAGGCAATCATCAATGGACACGAACATCGATAGAGATGGTTATACATATTTGCTGAATCTGTCTGGCTATGTGATAAGCTGGTACAATACGGTATACATAAACCTCTGTACAGTCAGAAAGGATTGGGCAGAGCGGGCACCCAAGGTGAGCGGAAAGTCTGAGGTCTGTTCTCGTGCGATGTTTACAGTCTTGAATGGAAAATTAATTGCTTCACAGTGGCTGGTGAGAACGTCATGATAGTGCAACGAGCACAAAGAAGGAGCAATTGAGAGTCCACTCGTGACACAAGGGGATATAGGTGAACCCTCCCGTGACACTTTCGCCCATCGCAAAATTTCCGAGCCACTACAGTATGATGTTCACTGGGATCGGTTGCCACGACGTTGTCGAAACGTCCTGCAAGGACTTTGGCGACACTGCCAGGTCCAGTGCCAACATGATGCGCGAGACTCCATCGATCGCTATGACTGCGATGAAACTCTTGTCCGGCGCTGGTCTACGGTAAGAATTTGCAACAACAGAAAGTGGAATGACATCTCGTCACATTTACCTCAGCTACTGGTACTGATTGTCCCAATAAAGCTACGCCACTAGATGATATAGTGATGATGAAGCGGATCCGAAGTGTCCCAAAAGAAGTCTTACCTCGAGCTCATGTCTGCAAAAAGTCCTGACTGTATCTGACTGGGCTGATAGTGGCCACTACCTTGATTTGTGAGGATTCCAAAAGGTGATCACACTAGGTGTGTTATTCCTGGAAACTCTACGCTGAGGTCTGATAAAAGACGCATGAATGACAATGTCTCGCTCTGCAGCATTTTGAAGCCGCCAGTGCACCTTGTGACTCGAAAAGGGTATTGTTGGTGTGAAAATCGGTATATACTTTGCCTGCTCAATATTATTAGAATGATAACCAAGGGGAACCCTGTCATTATAGACGCCAATGCCGCATTAGTATTCTCGATCGCCCATTTCGTTTCGCTACTGTCCGTTGCTGGCGAGCGAGCCTTGCCGCAATAGTGGGGATCTGAGGACTAGTTTAAACAAATCTGGTTCAAGGCGACGCGCATCCGGCTTCCTGGAACTCAGACCTATCGATATCTACAGATCTAGGGTAACCATCGCTTGTTCAAATCACGACATTTCGCACATCGTATCCACAGGGTAAAGGCGCGATGGTGTAATGAGACGGGTTGGTCGCGCTCTGTCGGTCCACGGCAAGCTCCCATGCGGATAGGCACGTCATTTTCATGTCCAGCATCTGTCAATTCGACCAGCACTTCGGGCTCTTTGAGACGATTCCAGGATCCAACTTCAAGTCTTGTCGGCCCTTTGGTCTGATGGTCTTTCAGACTTTAAGATAAAGATTACGAGGCATCCTTTGCATTACACCAGGTATGGTCTTGGGTCTGTATGAGAACAAAGCTATTTGGTGCTGATTAATCAAGCCGAGTTGGCTACAAGATGATAGAAGAGACTTAAGTTCAGGGGTAACTTTGACTTCTTCTGCCACCGGCCTGACTGCCCGAGGCTACACGACTCTTGAGCACGCCCACCTAATCAGGTTAGCCCTTCAACAATGACGATTGAAATCCTGGCTCGGCCTTGACACGGCTCCATAATTATTGGTACCTAATCTACTGCAGGGACTGCAGGTCCCAGGCTGCTTTATCTATCTAATCGTATGGTGGGTTGGCATCTCGGTAGGGCTGACACCCCCTATAGGAAAATCCCTCATCTAGCCCGTGCTCCTTTGTCTCAGACTGAAATACCAGGACTCGAGGGTTTCTTGCAGAGAAGTTGGGAGTCGTTCGCCTTTTTGAAGCAAAACCATTTCCTTTGGAAGGGAGGAGGCAGTGGAAAGCAACTTTCCAGGATAATTTGGTGGCAGGCCCGGCCCCCTGGTGCCCCGACGCAGGATCTGACTTGCATGATCATAAACCATAAATAACTGCAAGGGTTGCATAAAGGTGACTAGCTGATAAACAATATTAGCGGTAACCCAGCGGCTACACTTGAAGCAGACCCCCTTCAAGCGGTCCGAATCCATATTTTCAATATTCTCTTTTCGACTGGGGATGACTCATATGCACCTCGTACATCACAAATGAGGGGTGTCAGCGTGTCTAGTTCCTTCTATGCATGCGTCCTTCCTACATCCTTCCATGCATATTCCATCATTATTCCTTTCATGTAGTTAGCCATAGATAGCCGTGCTTTGTCTCCGTCAGCTACATAATAGCTGATGGCCCCACCACTGAATCTATATGCTTTCTATCATCACCACTGCTGTGTTACGCTGAGAAGGGGGTCGTGAGGAGTCTGGAGTGTGAATGGTCTAAAAGAATTGCTGGGACAAAGGCGGTTGGCTGGGCCACCCAATGTGCTGCAGCATCGTTCACCGCAACTGAACCAGCCTTCTTTGCCTTTTCTGCGCGCTAGGATAAACCCAAGGGGTTATACCTCGCAGATGCTCTACGGCCTCACCGCCTCAGCCTTTGCGGGCCTTGCAATTGCGCAGCGTGGACGCAGCCATAATGCGCGCTATCTTAGGCCTTTCCCATTTTCTACCCATCATTACCCACTTACTCCTGCCCTACAAAGTTCGATCCTACAATGAGCACCTATCTCCGCGACGATCATAATACCTGTCCCTATGTCTTTGGCGCAGCAAAGCCGAATGGCAGCGACGAAGCGTCACAGTCGACCCTGAAGCGGTTACACCAACCGCACATGACACGCGGCTGAAGCTCGACCTCGATTTTTCGCATTTCCAACACTCGTCTCTCCGCTTCGTACACCCGCCCTCTTCCCATAGCTTACGAAGTCCCTCAGGGATAGAGACGGGGCTTGGGGTCCGAGTTTTATCCTCCGGTCTTATAGGTAGCGTCTCTTGGGCACTCGGCTGCAACATGAGTATGCGGATACACGGCTCCCACCATTCGTCCACGATTTAAGGGTGCAATCGCTTACCTAGATGAAGCATTAACTCCGCGCCTAACTTTTTACTTCGTCCTGATATCCCCGACAGCTCTCGCTAGAGGGTAACTACATGTGAGAGCTTGCCCAGCAGTTTTC